TTACTTTTAAAAGAACCCGAGGGGTAGGGGAGAGAGAAAGAATGATAGAGACAGAGAGAAAAAATACCAATAACATGGCTCCCAAAGACTGCTACATTGAAATTCAAAAGCAACTTATAGCTAGGTGCCACTGGCTCATACCTGTAATCGTAGCTATTTAAGCTGCGCTCTGAGGATCCTGGTTTGAAGCCAGACTGGGCAAGAAAGCCCATGAGACTCTTATCTTCAATTAGCCAGGAAAAGCTAGAAATGGAGTTATGGTTCAAATGGGAGAGTGCCAGTCCTCAACAAAAAGAGATGGGACAACTCCAAGACCCCTCATACACATACACTACACACATGCACACACAAGTAGCAACTAGCAGCTCCTGTGTGTTAGGGGAATGGGTTTATAGAATCCCAGGTTACGTTAGATTGACTTACAAACCAGTGCCTCCCCCAGGGACCATACATATGAGTTGATTCCATATGATTATATTGCCGTTGAGGGGCATGTAAACATGTTCCAACCGTGATGGGCTTGCTAAAATGAACTTACTGGATAATGCATCATCACATTGGGTCCTAAATACATGACTACATCTATTCATTGAGCAATCAGGCAATGATTGCTTCTAAAATTTGTTCCTCAGACTATTATTCACTATCAGAGAGGACTGTGTGGATGAAATGCTTGGGCCTTGTATTTTGAGTATATACAGATACAAAAATCGAGTTTTAACAACCCCACATGTGCTGAAGTTTGAGTGCTTCTGATATATGTGACAAAGGTCTTCAGACTTTAATGGGTGGGTTACTGGGTGCTAGTGGTTCATGCCTGTGATCCTAGCTACTCAGGAGGCTGAGATCTGAGAATTGAGGCTCAAAGCCAGCCCAGGCAAGAAAGTCTATGAGACTCTAATCTCCAATTAACAAGCAGAAAAACAGAAGTGGTACTGTGGCTCAAAGTGGTAGAGTGTTAGCTTTGAGCAAAAGAGCTCAGGGACAGGGCCCAGGTCCTGAGTTGAAGTCCCATGACAACACACACACACACACACACACACACTCTCTCTCTCTCTCTCTCTCTCTCTCTCTCTCTCAAAAACCCAAAAACTTTAATGAATGTTAGAATCCCCAGGGAGATCTTAAAAAATCCAGGTCCTGCCTCAGACAAATGAAATCAGAATCTCTGGTCATGGGAGCCAGGCTTCAGTGTTTTTGAGAACATTCTAGATCTCCACCATTTAACCACATTTGAAAAATTCAGAACCTTATAGAAATCTGGTCTTGGTGTTGCAATTCTAGAATTTGCCTTTGAAGTTCTGTCTGGTCTCCCTGGTTTTCAGTTGCATTAGTAGGATATACACTGTGTTTGAGTCCCAATGGCCTGCCAGAATCACCACGGGAATTGTTGCTGGTAGTAGATGTGACTGCTGACTTCAGATTTATTATGCACTCAGATGTTGCTCACAGGTACACTTGGCCACCTAAAGAATATAAGAAGACCATCATCCATGAGATGGTAAAACCTTCCAAAGAGAAGTTCTTGAATAGTCCCATAATCAGGCTGCTTTGATTTTGTTGGTCCATGAGTTCCATCAATTTACAGACATGTATTAGCCTCTCTTATGTGGTTAGCCCCACTCCAGGCAGTTGGAAATTTCTGGAATGTGGAAGTAAGCGTGATGAGTTAAGAATGACAAGTCTTGTCTTCAAGCAATGCCCTGAGAGTTGTAGAGAACAAAGACTGGGGTGGTCAAGAGCCAAACTGGAGGGATCCCTCAAGGATTTCGAGCTGCTTTAGTGAGGCAGAGACCTCTGTGTGGCCTTGGAGTGGGAAGGAGCTCCCGGTGGCCAGAGGCACTGGGCTGCTGACTGTTTTGGAGTTAAACAGAGTTTCTTCCTGCCCTGAGCATCTCTCAGTCCCAGGAGGAGGGTGGATTATGCACTCCTATCCCCACCCCTTCCATACACCTCTAGCAGGATGGAAAAGACAGACTGTAAATAATTAGGCAATAAAACCCCTCCTGATGTGTGCTTTTAAGGGAAAGAAGTAGGTAGTGCTCATTAGGAGCAGGAAACAGCCCATCCTTAAGATTTCTACTGCCCGGAGCATCCTGTGCCCTTTGATGTTCCTGAGGGGTCTTTGAACTTTGAGAAGCAGCAGGTTCTCTCTTAGCTGTAGCCCCTCCTGAAAAGACAGCTAATCCCCTCGTCTGCACTGGCCTTTGAAGGGAAAGAAACCCAGAGGCCATGAATTCCAGTAGCCATTGGACAGGCTGGCCCTAGTAGGACTGGTGACAAGGAGGGGAGATATTTTTCTCTTATACTCCTTGGAATTTTAATCTCTACTGTGAAATCATTTTCTGGCTACTGAGTAATGAATGCCACAAGCCTGTTCTATTGGCTGAGAAGACTACTCTTCCTGAGAAATATAGCAGTTAACTGTTGTTTGTGAGTGCAAAGCTTGTTAGATCTCAGCTGCTAAGACTGTTGGCTGCTAAGACTAGGTGCAATTAAAAATGATCTGAGTTATGTGTTGGTGGCTCATGCCTATAATTCCAACTACTTAGGAGGATAAAATCTGAAGATCATGGTTCGAAGTCAGCATGGGCAAGAAAGTCTGTGAGACTCTTCAATTAATCAGAAAAAAAAAACTGGAAATGGAGCTATGGCTTAAGTAGTGGAGAGCACTGAGCAAAAAACTAAGGGTCCTGAGTTTAAGGCCCAGTATGGACACACACACACACACACACACACACATGCGCACACACACACACACACATGCATACACACATACACATACACAGATCCAGTGTGATATATATGTATTAAAATAAAAATAATTAGAATAAAGAAACTCGTTAAAAACTGTTTTTTAAAGATGGGAAGTTAAATGCCCTGGCTGGCTTCTAACCATGATCCTCAGATCTCAGCCTCCTGTGTAGCTAGGATTCTAGGCCTGAATCTTAAAGGGGGTGAATTTGATTAAGGTACACTGTAGCCATGTGTATTATTATGTTCATTGACAACACCTATACAAACCTGTCTGACAATTTCTAGAAAGAACTGTAATTATTGATAACATCTGTTGAATAAGCTCCCCAGATGTGGAGCAGCAGCGAGATCCCATCTTCCCATAAAAGGGTCTATCTTCATGGGAACCATTTCTTCAGGTTCTTTGTGCGACCCCAAATATTCCCTTAGCAGACTCAGCTAGGACTCCTTTAGGTAGAGCTGGGTCCTGACTCCTGTGCTTGCCATCAGAATCTCAGAGCTCCTGAGAGAGTCAAGTAAACTGAACCTTCCAACCTGGCAGCCGTAGGTCCCAAGTCTAGCTCATAGCCATCTCCTGCAGCCTCTAAGGTCTGGGACAAAGCTAGGAGAGTTGAAGCATCATGAGAGTCCCTTCAGAACTTTCCCTAGAGTATACTTGGGTTTCCCCAGTGCAAATGCAGAATCAGTATGTTGTTTGAAGGTAAAAACTCAAAGCCATCAAGGCATTATTGTGTCTGATATTGCCTAAGTAGATGGGATAGAATACCCATCGGTACCCTCAGCCCCACAGTTATTTAGAGTTAAAAAATTACTATGTGGACTTAATGCCTTGTGGTTTTGTTAACTAGAATGTTGCCAGAAATAATAGATATCCTGGGACATGAACCTAAAATAACATGGAATTTTTCAGTCAAGTAATCTTTAATTTAAACTAAAAATAATCTAAACAGTAGTTTATATAAACCTCAAGGACCAAGTCTTTCAAGCCAATGCTAGTTCATCAGACTGAGTTTATGAGGCACTTTGTTAGCATTGACCATTAAAAGCCAGATCAAGCACGATCTCTAGTAGAGACGAACTCCAGAAAGCTAAGAATCCCACTCTTGGCTGGTCTGGCTGACTGGAACATTCCTTTGGGAGGTCCTTCTCTGAGGGCTGGCAGAGTCAAGCACTCACTGAATGCCTCATGCCCCTCATGGGTCTGTCTGCCTAAAGGAGGAGGGTTGAGATGTTGGTGACACTATCATCTGTTCTAACTTTGGGGACCGTCCTGTGACACTCTTGGTGGGGGGGAGACTGGAGTCTTAGCCAGGAGTCTGATAGTGTGTGAGAGGAGCCCCTTCCATTTTATAACCTATTTGACCACCAAAGAAAACGTGAAAGTGTCCCCAAGTGTAATTTTCCTGCACCCGTGTTAAGACTATTATTTGCGCTTGGCTGTCTCCAATTGTGTTTGTGTTTTTCTTTTTTCCCCAAGCAACATCCTTGTTTGAAAATTGCAGATGGTAGCCATTTAGGAGCTTCCAGCCAGGGAGATGGAGGTGGTTTGTCCAATTGTGAAGTTAGAACAATTAGTGGGTATGTTGATCCTCCATAGCATTGTGGCCCAGTTTTGAAGAGGTCTCCCTCACCACCTCAGGCAAGAGCTGTCTGTAGTCTTGATCCAGTTGTTTGGCCAAGTACGGAAAGAGGTTTTAGAGAACTTCGGGGAGGGAGGAGGGGAGGGCTACCACCCAAAGGATCTCCGAAGGAATGAACCATTTCTGAAAGTAAGACAAAGCTGTGTCCAGTTGTGCAAATTTGGTAACACATAAAGTTTTATTCACACCGCATTTAACTATTGAGCCCTTCATTATTTGAGGCTGGACCGGGAGAAAGGATTTTCTATGATGGAGGGTTTGGGGGACAGGTAAACCCTCTATATAGTCTCAGAAGATTATCTCCAAGGAACCACTCAGAATCCCAGAAGCTGAGGCTTTCTGAAGCCATTCATTTCTTCCCCTAAGTGCTTCACATCATTGATATAGACAGACTGTGAATAAGACCTTATCTGAAAAACAAAGCAAAAAAGGCTGCGGTTGTGGCCTGTAATCCTTATGGTGGTTGTGGTCTGTTCTGTGAGAACTACTAGCGCCCTCTCTCCCTCTCTCTGTGTAAGACTTAAGTGTGCATGGTTCACTTGACTGGACCCAGAAGTAAGATACCCATAGCTTAACATCATTTTCTCTTCCTCTTTTGGATAGCTTGGGGATGAACCACGACGACGACCACTCATCCTGTGCTGGCCGGTCCCACATCATGTCCGGTGAATGGGTGAAAGGCCGGAACCCCAGTGACCTCTCCTGGTCCTCCTGCAGTCGAGATGACCTGGAAAACTTCCTCAAGTAAGTCCTGGGACCATTCTCCAGCATCCGTACCATAGAAGGTTCTCCCAAAAGACCAAAGGACTGGCGCCTCAGCAAGGGTGAGAAGGAGAGAATTGCTTGATGAATTCTGAGAAGCTGCAGATGTGGGCAGGGCAGCATCTGCTGTGATAGGTAAATTGTCCTCCCAGGTCTACATCTGCGGTGATGTTGGATGCCCCGTATGTAGGTGACCATCAAATGATGGCTGTGGGTCAGTATTATGACCTCATCTTCCAAACCCACTGCATATCTCTGCAGATTTGTGACCTTCCATTGCTACAAAGCTGAACACTTTCTGGGGAGTAAAATTCTTTGGGTCCAGAGGGGAAATTGCTCACCTCATGTGAGGAAAAGTGTCTCTCACAGAGCCCTGGGCTTGCTGGGTAGGTGCTCTACTGCCTGAGCAAAGTTATCAGTCTACTTTCAGATATTTTATCTTTTTCCCCCTTTATTACCAGAATTTGAATGCTGGGCATTGGGCTCACTCAGCTTGTTCTCTTACAGGCACTCTACTACCTGGACCAAGCCTCCTGTCCAGCTTTTTGCTGGTTAATTTTCTGCCTTGTCTGATGTTGAACCATAGTCCTCCAGATCTCAGCTTTCTAAATAGCCATGGTTACAGGCATGAGCCCTGACGCTCATGCTTTTAAGAATAGGACGATTCGTGTTTCATTTTCTTTAAAAAATTTTTTTTGCCAGTTCTGAGGTTTGAATGCAGGGCATCACACTTGCTTAATTTGCTTTCTCACATGATGCTCTACCATTTGAGCCACACATCTAACCCCCAGAGAATCTTAGTAAGATGTCCTTAGTCATTTTCTGTTATCACTTTACCTGGAAGGGTAAACCCAGAAGTGATAACCAACATGCTGTTGGTCCAACTGGTGATAAGTGGGTTGTGTCTGGGCCTGGGAGAGGTAGATCCACTTCAGCTATGTGTACTTGTGTGTATGCCACAATTTTCCTCAAGAATTTTGGCAGCCTGCAGGTGTGGTGGTGTATGCATGCCTGTAGTCCCAGCTATGCGGGTGGTAAAGGTTGGAGGATCACCACCTGAGGCAAGCTTGGATAAAGCCAACAGGAAACCCTATCTAAAGAACAAATTTAAAGCAGAAGTACAGGATGTGTATGTACGTGTGTGCATTTGTGTGGAGGGAGGGTGTGGCTCAACTAGAGTTAGAGCTCTTGCCTTAGGAAGTGAGCAGAAAGCCCTGAATTCAGTCCCCAGCGCCAAAACCAAAACAAACAAAACCCCAAATATTGGCAGATGTCTGACTTTCCTTTTAATTGCTATCTGACTTGCTGTAGGGATAGAAAATAAATGCATGTAAGTATGTAATCTCCTAGTGGTGATTTGGGCAAATGTTCCTCCTATGGTACATGAACTCTCCCATTGTGGGTGGAATCCTGAAATCCTGTCCTGCAACCTCTTGGCCAGCCCTCTGTGACACAGGAGGTGTAGCTAGGTGACACACCTCATCAAGGACATTAGTCTTGGCCCAGCAGGCCTTTCAGGGAAGAGTTGGAAATATGCACTTTGATTTTATTTTAAAAGTCAAAAGCCCTAACTGGGGCTTGTACTTGATACATGATAACATTTGCACAAAGCCATATATTCTAAGACAGCCCCCAAGTAATCTATTTTAAAAGCCTTCTCACTAACTTCTCCAGGCCCCTCTCAAGTGGCCATGTGGAAGGAAAATAAACTAGAAAAACAGCACCTAGTCCCCCATCCTGTGCTGAGGCCCTTTTGCCATAAGGAATCTGCAGGTGCATTTCAGGGACTGAAAGATCAAACCTGAAACCCAGACAGGACTTCTGCACATTAGCTCACTTCTTGGGTGTTTTCAGGTCCAAAGTCAGCACCTGCTTGCTGATCACAGATCCCAGGAGCCAACATGCCCTCCGCCTCCCACACAAGTTGCCGGGTATGCACTACAGTGCCAATGAGCAATGCCAGATCCTATTTGGCACGAACGCCACCTTCTGCAGAAACATGGAGGTAAGCAGCCATGCAAGGGGGAGGGGAGGAGGGGGCTTGCTCAGGAAGGGGTACAAGCCTGGCCTGCCTGCTGCAGGTGTGGATTCACCCAAAGATCACATGCATGCCCATGCACACACCCACAGACATACTCAGGTGTGTTCACGTGTACATATGCGCAGTTAAGTGTGTACCCACACCCACCCATGGCTATCCACATACATCTGGCACCCAAGAAGCTCTGCAGGGAGATTTATTTATTGAACCAATGCCTACAAGTGTGGTCCTCAAGTTTTCGTGCTGGTCAAATGACCCCAGTTAGTCCTCATCCCCTAGGTTCTGTTTCTGTGTTACAGTTGACAAAAACGAGTGAAACTTACTGGTCACCCATAGTGGCATGGGTAATAGGTAGTAGAGCAAGGGTTTGGAGTCCAGTCTGGCCACTCCCAGAATGCACAGTTTTTCACTGTGTTGCAAATGGTGTAATAATGCCTGTGACTTTATCAACTTTGTGGGTAGAGGATACCAAGTGGGGCTGGAGATCTGGGGCAGGGAAGTTGCCATATCTGTGGCCACCTGTATAACAGACTAGAGGCCCCGGCTGGACAAGCCTTGAATTCCTTACAGGGGTAGGTGCCCAGCCTGAGGGCTATAGAAGAGGCCCACAGAATTATTGCTTCTCAGTGATGCCATATTTCTCATTGGCTGCCCACCTGAAGCCATCTTCTGGTACCGATAATTTTGCATAGCTCTCAAATGATGTCATAGAACTCCAAACTTCCCTTGGCACAAAAAAAATTATCCCAGCTCTGCTCTGTGATATATTCCTCTCAAGGCCTGAGAATCCGCATGCGATTTGCCAAAAAAACACATGAAACTTTAGCAAGGGTCTTGTAGGGCTACTTGTAGACATTTCCATGTTTTCGTCCCAGGGCAAGAGCCATCCAGGGCAGCGCTGTGAGTCCAGTAGGGAGTGAGCTCAAACTGGTCCTCAGTCTCACCCTTACACCTCCCCCACCTCCGTCTTAGTATCTTCATTGAGAAATCTCAGGCACCAAGAAGTTAGTGCATGTTTAGTGCTGTGTAGAGGATCTGTCACAAAAGCAGTGCCTTGTGAGCAAGGACCATACCTGTGCTGTTATTTCCTTTCTGACTCCAGTCTGTTCAGGTCTAATATTTAGCTTAAGAGGGGTATGAAAAATCAAGCATTGTTTAAAACCTGCCCTTCTCATCTAGCCAGGGAGGCCCAGAACCAGTCAGAAAGTTCTTTTAACCCAATGATCTTACAGCCATTATTATTCATGCTTTCATAATTCTTAAGGATTGAAATGGGCAAGCCCATTTGAAATAGGTTATATTAGGAAAAATTGTAATTCCTCACTGGTCATTTACACTCCCATCCAGTGAGAAACCAGTGCAACCTACTGTATGTAAGAGTTCTTGACATTGTCTATGTAGATGGCCCCATAAGGTCATCCTATGTCTCCAGATAGACAGGACCGGTTGGTCCACACTTCACACCAATGATGTCATCGCATCTCAGAGCAGCTCCAGTGATTTCAGAAAGAAATATGTTGAAGAATTCTCAACAGGATTCTCCAAACCACTACTGGCCCCTTGTAGTAGGAAAAGCACTCACACATACGCGCGCGCGCACATACACACACACACACACACACACACACACACACACACACACACACACACACACACAATCTGCCTACTTACTAGATGTCATAAAAAAGAAAGAGCAACAGTCCTTGCCAGGAGTGAATACTGTAAGTTACAACTCCAGAAGTCTGGAGGAGACTCTCCTCTTAAAAACAGCATTCAAGCATTGGGGATTGAGAATGCTTTCCACACACCAAGCCCCTAGTCTCTCAAAAGCACAATAAAATGGCAGCCTTACTGGCCAGCCTCTTGGCATCCCTGATGGCCTGGTGGGAATCTGCAGGGAAAGATGCCTCACCATTGTGAGGCATTGTCTTTTGTCTTAAAGATCTTTTATGTAACTTTAAGCCTACTACAGGAAATAAAACTATAATGAAATATAAGGGAAGTTGGAAACTGCCCAGGGACTAAAACTATGAGACACACCGGTACTAAGGAGTTGAATATTTTCTTTTCCTGGAATACAGAGCAAAGAAACATAAGAGGAACAAGACAGATAACATTTTACTGGGGAAAAAACACCTTGACAATGTGGTAGACTATTTTCATTTGGCTGCACCTTCTTTTGCGGAACTAAAGATGAACCCCCTCTTTTTCCTGAGGGAGGACAGAGGCCTTCTTGTTCTTGAGGGTCCCCCATTTCTCAACCATACATGGATGCAATTGTACTGAATCAAAAGGGCCAAACTAAGATCCTTGGATAGTAGCAAAGGATTTATGAACTGGGATAGGAAAGCAATTGCACCTTTATCTTTCCCCAGCTTTTAACTGAACTTTTATTTCCTTCTGTTACAAACATTGGCAACAGTGTTCACGGGACAGCCACTGTGATGGGAAATCATGAATGCTTTCATACCAAATAATAGTCATGGCTCTCATGGCCAGCTAACACATTCATACGCTCTGATTCCTTCAACATTACAGTGGTTACAAGAGCCAGGACTGGGTCTTGTCATGGAATGTGTTGACAAACACACATTACTCTATGCTGCATTAGTCATTCTTTTTGTACTTTGTACTTTGTTTAAATTTGTTTCCCTGATAATCTTACGTGCCTTTAAATTGTGTGTTGGCAAGTGTACTCTTGAGAGAGATTTATAAGCACCACCAGACTCTTGGAGCTTGGAAAGACTAGGCAAGAGGTGTTGGAGAATGCCAGGCAGGCCGGCCAGTAGCTTCCTACAGCAGGAAGTACCTACAGTAGCCTGTGAGGCCTTGCTTTTCTTTGGGTAAAATTTCGAGTACGGAGCTTCTTTGTGATTGGACTTGCAGGTCTGTTCTGCTCTTGGCACTCACCATGCATAGCTGTCTGGAGGCCCATCAAAATGAAGAGAGAACTATTCCCCGAATCAGAAGTGTCAAGTATCGGAAACCATTGCTAAAGTTGCTTAGGGGAGTAGACGCAGCTTCAAATACTAACCAGGTTGCTGTTTTTTTTAAACATTTGCATAAGAGAGAACCAGGACCGGGTCCCTTTCAGATTTCAGCACTCTGGAGGCCCCCATACCATCACCACTGAACCTTTCATGTCTGTCTGCAGAATGCTGGTATTGTAAGGCTGAGCTGTCTATGGAAATATGAAGTATAAAAAATTGGCGTCGATAGCTGGCATTTGTTGTAGAAGTTACTGGCAAATATGGCTGTCTCCTCTTTTAGCCAATGGTAATGTGATGTTTTTAATTCAGTAAAACATTTCAAGAAAGTCCAAACATAAAAAAGTTATATAAACATTGAATGGTAAATATTTATTAGAAAAGGGAAATGAACTCTATGCAATTAGCCCAATCAGTCTTTTTTTTTATTATTACAAGTTCCTTCTGTCCCCTGTCAGCAACATCCCTGAAGAGCAGAGTTATTCTTTGACAAGGCTTTAGAGTTATTGAGTCTCAGATAGTCTGCCAGATAAACCAAGGGTGGGAAGGATAGGCATTGTTTGGCATAGCCATATATTGCTACTTAAGTCAGAAGAGCATAGGGATGGGCAGTGTGCACTGTCTCACAAAGGCACACCCTCTCCAGGATTTCTTCTTCACCTTCCCCCCAGACCCTGGAGAGGTCTTAGTTGAAAGTCACGTGCTCATCCCTGTTCCCCTCTGCATCTCAGCACCGCCTCCAGAAGCTCAGCTATGGCTGCCACAGGTCAGAAGGAAGGTAGGCAGCTCAGAAGTGCGTACAGTAGTGTTTGTGTGGGAACGCAAGTGCATCTTCATACTGTGATGTTCGCAACAGACTGCATTGTGCTGTTTGTGCTGTTCTTCTCAGTTGAGCACCAAAGCTGTGATCCAGTTATTCCTGGGAGCTGGAGTCTGGGAGTGGTTGCGGGCATCAGGGAGTTTATGCCTTCTCTCCTGCCTAGGGTTCCTTTCTTTGCTGCTTCCCATGGCATGACGGTGCTGTCTCGTACATGGCGAGGATAAAAGCTCTATGTAGAGTCAAGACACCCACTCCCTCCCCACCTCTCCCTACTGGATGTGCCCTTAGTCTCTCTATGCTTCAGTCTGTTGATCTGCAAAATGGAAAAACAACAACAACAACAACTACAGATGCATACAACTGTAGGGACTGTTAGCAGACTTCAGTTAGATGAACTAGACCACTAAACAAGCAGGTAACAACAGGTACTCTGTAACTGTTACTGGTGCTAGGATTTTTTTTTCCTGTCCCCTGGTTTCTTGGATCCAATGGGAAAAGACAAGACAATTTACCTATCACGTGGACCAGTCCTTTTCTGTGTTTGCCCCTGGGCTTTCCCTTTCTCCTGGTACCCAGAGAGGTAGTAAGTCCTGGAGACTGCTCTTGACATGCATCATCTCTCCTGGTCCTGCAGAGGGGCTTAGCATCGTGATGGACATTGAATCTCCAGGTGTTAAATCTTACCTGAGACTTATTTCTAAATCTTGGAGTCGCCTCAAGAGACAGAAGTGTTTGTGTCCTACCCAAAATCCTCTCTTAAAATATATTGGGAGAACTGTTTCTAGGTCTTTGTTTTTCTTCTTCAGATCCTGGGGCTTGAACTCTGGGCCTAGGCACTGTCCCTGAGCTTTTTCCACTCAAGACTAGTGCTATCTTACTTGAGCCGTAACTCCACTTCTGGGTGATTCATTGGAGATAGGAGTCTGACAGACTTTCCTGCCCAGGCTGGCTTCGAACTGTGAGCCTCAGATCTCAGCCTCCTGAGTGGCTAGGATGATACAGGCTTGAGCCACTGGTGCCTGACGTCTTTGTCTTTTTATATAGCTTCTGCCAGGATTCAGTCAGCCAGCCTGGCTTGGAAATGGCTAGTCTCAATAAAATGTGGTCCTTGAGGGCCAAGTGGGGCTGGCTTGAGTGGGAAGCTGGCAGCATCTCGGCACTCCCTGGCCTCCTCCCTCTCAGACAGAGCTGTGCGGTTGTACACAGGGCTGAAAGCTGTCCTTCCTGTCTCTGTCTCAGCTCTTGAAGCTATGGGACTCTGGCAGCAGATGGCTCAAATTTTCCGGAAGGGTTTGAAAGCTTACAGTGGATGGTCTTCCTCAGATTTCTCCCCAGATCTGGCAAGCGGTGTGCGTCATCTTCATTCCTGTGTCCCTGCTAGATGAGGTTCTAGGTACCTGGCCATGCCAGAGCAGCACCCCAACCCCAGCCAGGTGAAGGGTCTCTGTTCTCAGGAACATGTAAGGACTGACCACACCCAAGACACAGGGAGCCTTCCAGAAGCAGTCCTGGCATGCTCTTCTGGGGAACAACTTCAAACCGCAGTAGACTTTGTAGAAAATTTGGATTTGTTGCTTTTTCATCCAGCTCTTGGCATTTTGTTTGATCTGTATTTGGCTTGTGCTATCAGTGAAGCTAAATTAGGGAGTGGGTTACTGGGGTTTGAACTCAGGGTTTTACACTTGCTAGGCAGTGAGTGACTCTGCCTCTTGAGCCATCCACTCCAGCCCTTTTAGCTTTAGTTATTTTCAGGTAAGGTCTCACACTTTTGTCTGGGACCAGTCATGGACTTTGTGACCTTCCTACCTCTGCTTCACCATCCCTGACCTGCTTTCCCCCCCCCCCACACACACACAGATTGAGTCTCACTAACTTTTTTGCCCAGCCTGGCATAAATTGTGATCCTCTTATGTCTACCTCTGGAGTAGCTGGGATTACAGGCCTGAGCCACCAGTGTCCAGCTTGATTTGGGATTTGTTTATACTTGAGGATATTGTCATATACACCATGGAACACCTTGGGGATGGCACCCATGCTGAACATGAAGATCATTTCTGTTTCACGTACACCTTATACATACAACCTAGGGTCATTTCACATCATCCTTTGTTCCCCAGCATTTTGACAGTGACCCATTGCACAAGGTCAGGTATGGAATTTTCCCCTTGTGCTGTCATGTTGGAGCTCAATGTGTAAGATGTTGCAGTATTTCAGACTTTGTTCAATGTCCAAAAATGTCCTCGGATCGCGGGATCTTTCTTCTGCACTGCCCTGGGTGATCCCCTCACAGACCTCTGCCCACAGCCTGACACCCCTCCCTCATAGCTATCACCCTGTCCCTCCATCTGACCTGATGGCCTGAAGGGCCTTTTACTTTATCTTTGACATCAAATAACCTGATTAGGCCAAGCTTCTGGGTTTCATCATTCTTTTCTATTTTTCTGGGAACAAAGCTTCACATTTCAATCTGAAGCTGAGATCTTTTATTTCAAGGCAGGGTCTTGAATTCCTATTCAAACTCTTTCCTGTCCCATTATTTTAGCTCTTTAGGAAGCCTGTCCTTTCCACCCAGCTTGAGCCCTTTGATCTCCACACACTGCCTCCAGAGCTGTCCTGAGCTGAGAATGACAGGCCCCTGAGGAATTGGTCACTTGTGAACCATGGCGTGAGTGATGGCTCTTGTCTAGAAGGCAGTACTGTGATGGACCATCATGTAACTTATCTTGTTTTCTAATGAAAATGAACCCGCACTATGGTGATTGTTGGGCTTGGTAAAATTTCTACTCCAGCCAGATCCAAGACTCAAGTTTGATACTCTTCTTTCTGCTCAGCCCTTTTTCTTTCCTTTTTCTCAAAAACTAATTCAAAAGCAATACCACCATACTGACTCCTAGCACCATAGTAACACCATAGTTTTACCTGTTTGAACTGTGCATGAAATAATATTCCATTATTCTAATGTCTCTTAATTCATTTTTCTCTTGATCAGTATTCTGGTGTTTTCCACCTTGGGATGAATGCAGGTAGATGATGAATTTGAAGAATATACACAGATATATTTTTAGTACATACAGAGGAGTGCAATTCTGGGTAGTGGATATGTGTGTGGGGGGGTGCTGGGCATAGTGGCACACACCTGGATCTCTAGCTATTGGGGAGGTCACACTCAGGAGGATCACAGATCACAGGTTAAAGCCAGCTGGAAAAAGCATTTGTGAGACACGCCCCCTGCCACATACACCCCGTCTTCACAAATAAGCTAGGTCTTCCATCTCAGCTTAAGTAGGAACATCACAGTCCAGGCTTTCACAGGTAGACTCTTTTAAAAACCATAAACAGAAAAGGCTGAAGGCATGGATCAAATGGTAGAGCACGTGAGGCTCTGAGTTAAAACATCACTACTGCAAAAGTACAACAACAACAAAAATTACATCTTCAGCTTCATTAAATTCTCTGAAACAGTTTTCCAAAGTTGTTAAGCCAAGTTAGCATCTCATCACCACACAACAGCTGCTCTTAAGACCATATCCTTGTGGACACTGGGAATTCTCAGTCTTCTTGCTTCCTGCCCTTCTCCTGGGTACACAGAGGTATCTTATGGTGATCTTACAACTAAAGAGGTTGGGCATGTGTTTACTGGCTACTTAAATACCCTTTTGTGAAGTGCCTGTTCAGGTCTTTTGCCCATTTTTCTACTGGGTCTTTTTTCATTTCATCTCTAGGGGTTTTTAAATATGCTCTAGATACACTTTGTTGGCCATCTGCGTCAAGACAATCTCTTCTATCTCTTGCAAATACCTTCTTGTATTCTCCCAGTTGTCGTGTGTGTGTGTGTGTGTGTGTGTGTGTGTGTGTGTGTGTGTGTGTGTGTGTCAGTCATGAGGCTTGAACTCAGGGCCTGGACATTGTCCTTGAGCTTTTTTGCTCAAGGCTAGTGCTCTACCTACCACATTGAGTCACAGTGCCACTTCTGGTTTTCTGATGGCTAATTGGAGATAAAAAGTCTCTTGGACTTTCCTGCCCCAGGCTTGCTTTGATCCTCAGATCTTAGCCTCTCTTGAGTAGCTAGGATTAGAGGCATGAGCCACCAGTGCCTGGCTGTCCTTTCTTTTAAGAGGGCTTAATTTTAAGAGAGTAATACTCATTCACTCATTGTTTCTGTGTTTTGTTTAAGAAATCTGTCTAGCCTCTCTCTCCTGTGTTAGATGATGAAAAACTTGATGAGAAGACACTATCAGTAAAATAACAAAATAGAAAGTTCACAACCCTTCCTTCCCCTATCTGCTGATGGAGTTGTTATTTCTTCTGATTCCAAGTCTTACAGCCCCCCCCAACACCCTCTCGCGTGAGTCTTGCCTGTAAACATGTGTCCACATGTCCACGCATGGATGCAGCCCTCTTGGAGAGCTCTGGTGTGAAAGTTCAAGGAATCAAACACTTAATGAGGCGTAATGGGTCTTTAGAGAACCAGCTATGGCTGGCTCAATGCTCTCATCTTTTTTACCGTTCTGGGGAGAGGTGAGCAATCATGGAAAGGTGCAGGTTTTTCTGAACCCAAGTGTACAGTATTCTATTTGGATCCTGGACAACTTTGAAGGCACATATCAGCTGCTACATATTTGAACAAATGAAAAAGCGCCCTAGGTTTAGAGTTAGCTCTTTTTTAAAAGCATCTTCTATCTCTGGTTTCCTTCCCTTTTTCTTCTTTATTTTGGTCCCTTCTTTCACTTTGGGGAGCATGGTGGCACATTAGGTTTGGCATCACGGAGGGACTGCATCTTTAAAAGATCCTTGCATACATCTGGTTTCAATTTCCAGGTCAGGAGGCGGGAACTGGGATGTGAGTTTATCTGGGATGGGATCCCAGGAAGTTCTGGGGGGAAGGGGGAAGGATGGTCTGTCTGCAGGGGGAGAAACTGAGAAAGGTACACTGAAGCTGTGTGATCAATGGGGCCGACCTTGCTCATGTGCCTTAGTATCCCGCACATCAGGCTGGTGCTCCTTATGTCATGGGCACTGTCCGCACACAAGGTCTCAAGGGGAAGAACACTGGCCAAGTGTGCCTCAATGATTTTTGGTAAATCATCATCTTTCAGTACTTGGCTGGTGTCCAAATTTCTTATTAATGCAGTTAGGAGTCTATGTTCTAAAATGGCTATTTTTCTTTATTTAGAATTATTGTACTTGTCTGTCTGTGGGTTTTTTTTAACATTTTTTTCCCTAGGTGAAATACTATAAGAAATTCTTCCTAGCTCAGGCAAGCTAGGAACTAGGCAGAGAGAAGGGAAGGCAGCTTCTCTAACTCTGTTGTACACAACTCTTTTATTTGGGAGGGAGGGGCTCACTTCCGGGCAATCATGTAAACACAGTGGATTGTGGGTCTGGAGCCCAGTCCAAGCTGTACCTGGGGTGACTGTGGGTGTCCTGGGCAGTCACCACAGTTCCTTTCCTTATCCTGCAGCATCTGATGTGTGCTGGCCTGTGGTGCCTGGTGGAAGGAGATTCATCCTGCAAGACCAAGCTGGACCCTCCCCTGGATGGCACCGAGTGTGGGGCAGACAAGGTAACCCTGCCCTCCCACCACCCAGAGCAAGAGCTGGATGTGACTCTCCTTCCCTAAGGCAGTGTGTGCTCTGCTCAGGAGCCCCTGAAATATCCCCAGGTCCCTGGCATTGCACAAATATGCAGAGAACCCCTACAGGATAAAAAGGGTACTACACCACCTTTCTTTTTCCAAAAAAAAATACAAAGGTGATATTCAGAGAGGGGTTACAGTTACATAAGTCAGGTAAAGAATACATTTCTTTGTGGACAATGTATTCCCTTCTTTTGTACTCTTCCAGTTTTCTCCTCCCATCCCCACAAGTTGTATAGTGCATTTTCAACATAGTGTCCACTGAGTATCATTGCTGTGTTTGTGTTCACCCTTTTACTCTGTTGTTGTTTGGAAGTACCAGGGATTGAACTCACAGCTTCATGCTTGCTAACTGAGTACTACAACTCTGACTCAGGCCTCCAGACTTTTTTGCCTTCCTTATTTTTAACATAAGGTATCACTTTCTGCTGGTGCCTCGGCATTGATTTGCCTGTTTGGGCTTCCATTGTAGCAAAGATACCAGTTGTACATCATTATGTACAGTTCTTCGTTGAAAAGGAGTCTCTTGAACTTTGCTGCCTCACCTGGCCTCAAAATGCCATCCTCCCCTTCTCAGCCTTCCACATAGCTAGAATTACAAGCAACAAAACACTGACACCCAGATTTAAAAAAATAAAAACCCAAGAAACATATTTTTGTTAAATTAATTTTCGTTATCATGAGCAAATTTACTTAAGAATACTTTCCATTGGTATTCTTTAAATGAAGAAGCTTCCCTTGCCATACACAAAATGATCATAAGATGAATCTACCGAGAACAGTATTGTTCTGTTCTAGGAAAATGTTGTCCAAGAGCAAGGTGGATCCTTGAGCACAGGAGAGATGGACTAGAGAGGAGAGATGGCCTGGATCAGTCAAGCAACTTTCTCCATAGCTTAAGCATGCCTTGAAAAAGTGAAAACACCAGAAAACGTTTTATTCTGGTGCTGAGATTGAAAATCACTAAGTTAATGCTTTGGGGAAAAAAATCCGTTTTAGAGATTGGTTTTCTGTTAGAACAAAACTGTACCGTCTAGAGCTGACATCCTTAACCACCAAACAGCTCTGAGATCCTGATGAGTGAATCAGAGCTTACAGAAACCATGTTCATGAGTTCTGTCCTGCAAATTCATGTTATTTTCTAAGAGGATGATTTTCTTTTAGAAAAAAAATCTCACTGGTGCACATTCTATGTGGAACTTTAGGACAAAATGAAAAAAAATAAAAACCACAAACAGGGAAATGGAGATGGGTGTTGAGTATGTTATTGCTAGAACTGGAAAATCTACCTACTCTGAAATAATTTACTTCTAGGCAAGTTCTTAAAAATGCCTTTTGACATCCTGGGGGACTGGCAGCCCGTTGGGGATCAAGCCGTGCTGAGTGCCTGGGCCCCGGGCCTCCTTGCTATCTTGCAGTGGTGTCGGGCCGGAGAGTGCGTGAGTAAGACCCCCATCCCCGAGCATGTGGATGGGGACTGGAGCCCGTGGAGCCCCTGGAGCATGTGCAGCCGGACATGCGGGACTGGCGCGCGCTTCCGGCAGAGGAAATGCGACAACCCGCCGTAAGTCTCTCCTGTCCAGTCTTTGCCCTGGGTGGGGAACCTCAATCAGTATTTCCTGCCTGCAGCTCTCACCACCTTAGGCTGAGAACTGGAACACAAAAGAAGTGGGGGTAGAGCCAAGGCCAGGGGTGTACAGCCTTGGGAGGGTCCAGTGTGTCTGAGGTTCACTGCAGCTCTGAGAATGGGGACATGATGTAGTCCCAAGGTTCAGCTGGCTCCTTTGCTCCTTATCTGGGATCTTGTAGAAAAGAACCTGAGAGTTGTATCACAATTTGTCTCACTTGCCTCATGGCTTACTTCCTTGAGAATGAACTGTTTCCAGAAAGTTCTACAGACTGGCATGTACACTAACTGCTGGCAGATTTGGGGACAGCCTACTTGTTCATGAATCACAAAGTATTTGTGGGTTCAGTTTTCTTCATCCAAATTTTCATGGGTCTTTCTAGAATTCTATGACAGAGCCAAGTTGTGGTGAGTTTTCTCTGTAAAGTTTCTTTTCATTGATAGTGATGACGCCGAGATGTTTCCTGTTCACCCTTGGACGTTTACTCTGGAAAACTCAGGAACCGATGTTGTGCTTGATAATAATGATTCCCTCGAAACAGGGTCGTCTTTCTCCTGTCAGAGTTCTTGGTTTTCTGTCTGTTCACAGGCTTGGCTGTTTCCAGTTGAATGGCATCAAGTTGCAAACTGAACAAGTGTTAAATCAGGACCCAAACCACAATGCTTTATACCCACAGTGAAGTCCAGGTGATGAATAATTCACAGATGGCCCTGTGGGTAAAAGTCCTGATGCTCTGGCTGTACCTGAGTCACCAGCACTGGAGGTGGTTCCCAGGGGATACTTTCCATCTTCCCTAGTCATTCCAATGACCGCCCAATGCTGGAAACCTTAATCTAAAGCCAACCTTGATCAGTTGATGGTAGAAGTGCCAATTTTTTTCGGTAGTGCCATAAGAATTTGAACTAGGTACCCTGTTAATGTGCCTGACACATAGTTCAAGCTGTTGAAGATGCTTTCTTATCCAGGCAGTAGCTGATGGCCCATGCCTATAATCCTAGCTACTAGGAAGCTGAGATCTGATGATTGCAGTTTGAAGCCAGCCCAGGCAAGAAAGTCCATGAGACTCTTATCTCCAATTAACCAGGAAAAAAACTGGAAATGGAGCTGTGGCTCAAGTGGTAGAGCACTAGCCTTGAGCATGAAAGCTCAAGAATATTACCTAGGACCTGAGTTCAAGCCCAAGGACTGGCAAGCACATGTGTGTGCATGCACACACACATATCTATTTTTAATACTAAAAATTTGATATTAATTTTTACTTTTTATTTAAATATTTAAATAAATTTTAACTAAATAATTTAATATTAAAAACACAAAATAGATATTGTATATATAAAACTATATACATATGTTTTTTAATTGAATATAGTATGTGGATAGAAACCCTATTTAGTGAAATGGTAAGATCAGCAGGGTAGTTCCAGTTTATAACCTGCTCTGCATTGAGGTTCAGAGCTCAATCTCTGGCCCTATAAAGAAGCTGTGGAGCTGAGTGCTGGTGGCTTACTCCTGTCTTGGGATACGGCTAGTGTTATGGGAAGTACGGACCAGCCAGCTTTGACACAATGCCTATTGTGGTGATTGTTACAATGCCCAGCTGACCAAGGCCCTGGACCCAGGGTCTGACCAAAGCCATGTCCTCTCCATCTCAGTCCTTAAATCACCAGGCTAGCTGGCTGAGTTTTCACGAGGATGTCCAGCGCTTGCTGCCGCGTGCATCTTGGGCTTGGAAGGCTGCCATGGTCCTCTCCCCAGCCCCAGATGTGCATCCTGGGCGCCTCTCCCTCTCTTGCAGCTAGCTTATTCTCAGTCCAAAGATATTGGTACCCCTCCCCCTCTTTTTTGGTGCTAGTACTGAGGCTTGAACCTAGGGCCTGGGTGGTGTCCCTGAACTTTTTTTTTTGCTCAAGATTGGCACTCTTCTACTTGAACTAAAGCTCCACTTACGGCTTTTGGTGACTAATTGGAGATAAGAGTATCATGGATATTCTGCTTGGTCTGACTTGGAACAAAGATCCTTAGTTCTCAGCCTCCTAAGTAGTTAGGATTATAAGTGGGAGCCACTGGTGTCTGGCTTCCTTCTCTCCCTCACTACCCTCCCTCCCTGACCTTGGTCTTCAGAGCTATTAGAACTTTCACTTTCTGCCAGTCAACCCATGTTTTAAGCCAGCTTCCTAGGCTGTCCTTTCCTACTGTTTGTGTCACTGCTGATGGAACTTATACCCAAAGACTACGAGGCACATTCATCTCCAATGCCAGTTCTGGGACCCACTGAAGGCTTCTGGTGAGGGGAGATGGAAAGGCTCACATGCACTTTTGTATCAAGAGCACACTCTTGTCTCTGCAGGTGAACTGGAGAGCAGAGGACAGACCTGGGATATGCTCAGACCGCTGCAATCTCCTCATTCCCTGCACCCTTCAAGGGGAAAAGTAGCAACCAGTCCACCAAGACTCTAGGAATAGAGGGAGGTGGAGGGAAGTTCTGTGTCTGGAATTGGGTTTTGCCTCTACTTTTATTGTACCACAGCTGGCACAGTTATCTTCCAGCTTACTATGATTCTACATGCCCATCCCTATTTGTGGCCAGGGGCCTCTCTGCTGCAGGTGGTCCGTGCACCTCTGCGGCTCTCCTGCATCTCAGCTCTGGGTTTAAGTGAGGCTGTAGTACCATGGAGCTCACTCACAGACTTGGTTGGGGTGGGGCTCACCTTTCTCTCCTTCAGTGTTTTTCTCCAAAGCCTCTCTAGCTTTGTCTGTCTTTTTAAACATATTTAGGAAAGTGAACCATGCAGAAAATTGCATCTTCCTGTAGACAACGTGTAAGACTGACAGGCATGCATGTATGGCATGTGTGCAAATGTGTGTCAATGAATGAGGAGACACCAGTTTCTACTGTGTGTGTGTATAAGAGAGAGAGAGAGACTAGATTTCAACCCAACAGCTTTCCAGTGATGGTCCCATGTCCACTGCCATGAGCCTGGCAGGTCTCCACGTGTTCTATCCCTCACTGGCACAGTGTTTTCCATCGTGGTTGTTCTGGTGGGCATTGTAGTATCTCACTAGTTTTAATGTGTATGTCTTATGAGAAATGAGGCTGAATGTATGTTCCTTTCTCAGTTGGATATCCTTTTTTTGTGAAGGGCCTGATGAGCCATTTTATCCTACAACTCAGCTTCTACTGGAATAGTATTTAGAAGGACCTGAACAAAGATGTCTGAGCATTAGGGATTGATACGAAAGATGCATCTTAAACACTCCTAGTGCCAGTGCTACCTTTACTCCAACCTTGATCCCAGAAGCAAGAGCTCTTTCTCCTCTCCTCTTCCCATCCCCAGCAATTACTTAACCTGAGAGCTTTGGTTTTCTCATCTGAAGGATACAGACAGTAGCCCCTTCTGATTGTATGACTTAATAGGATTAGTATGGTTATGGAGTGCTATTTTATGACCACTATTTATATGAAACTACTTGGTTCTTTGATCATGTCTTCAGAGGGCCAGTCCTCACTGCAAGGTGAGACTTCTACTCATAGACATCTCCCTGAGTCCTTGGCAGGGCTGTGGAGTCCTAGGGCCTCCTAGAAAGGCTGAAGGAAAGATATGAGCCCACCTGTCATTCTGATAGGAATGCTGCTTTTCCATTGTGAATTGTGTTGTTTCGATATCTTCACGTCAGTCATGTCAAGCTATGTTTCGGTTGATTTAATCTCCTAGAAATATTTTGTTTTTGTCCATCCAACATAGCTACTCCACCATCTCTAGCTACTCCACCTGCCCTTACTGACCCTGGTGCAGCATCTCCCAATGTAACTGCTGAGACTGCCCAGCTCAAGAGTGGCCAAAGACACCCTGGGACCTTGTGGAGGATCTGAGCAAAAGTAGACTGGTCAACCAGGCCACCATCCTGCCGTTCTGCCTAATCAATACTCCTCTGCCAGAAAGAGTGGTCTGGTCTCTAGAATGGCTTAAACTGGGAGTATAGGCAGAGCGCCTCAGATCCAAGAACTCAGCAATGTTCTCCTCCATCAAATTGAGCTCTCCCCATAGCCTAGGAGCAAGTGAACTAACAATTCTGATTCATTTGATTAGAGTGCAAATGAGAGCTGGTGATTGACTTATCCTGACCTCCAGGGCATATTTAGGAGCCATTTAAAGGTTTTCATTTCAGAGAAGTTAAAAAAAAAAATCAGAAACAAAAAAATACACCAAAAATTCCCTTCGGGCTTTCAGGGTTATACATGGCCAAGTTTTAAGTTCAGCTGGAAGACACAGTGAGTGGATCTTGCTGAACTGATACTCACTGTATTCTGTTTCCAGATGACCTTGATTTACAGTCCTTGGATGCGTTTTTCCATAGCTCATTTGAGCATGACTTCAGTGTGGGGCTGGGCTGGCCCAGATGTGGGCTATAGGAGCAGAGGGGGTTGCTTTGCAAATCTTGCCTTTCCTCCTGGCAAGAGAGCTAATCAGTGCTCCTGCTATTTCCACCACAGGCTAGCTAATCAGACTTCCTTCTTTCTTCTAGCCCTGGGCCTGGGGGTACACACTGCCTGGGTGCCAGCGTGGAGCACGCAGTCTGTGAGAACCTGCCCTGTCCCAAAGGTCTTCCCAGCTTCCGGGACCAGCAATGCCAGGCGCATGACCGATTGAACAGCAAGAGGAAGGGCCTGTTGACAGCAGTGGTGGTTGATGGTAAAGATATGGCACATCCTCTCATAATAGCCTCCCTCTCTCTTCTGCTGAGAACCATAATGACAACCTAGGCACATCCCACCTCACAGATGTCCCAGTCCTCTGCCCAGGACAGCCATGACCCATCCCATTTCTGGAGCAATAGAGTTAAACTTGAATCATCCAGCCCTCTGGGTTCTCTCAGAAGCAGCTATCTCAAGGTAACCAGCAGGCCAGATCTCTTTCTGACCCAGCACCTGCAGCGAAGTTAGGGTACTGGTGCTACGTGCCAGGAGCAGAGCAGTATGCTTGTGTGAGTGCCATTTTGCTTCCCAGCTTTGATGCTTTCCTTCATTGCTTTCCTTTCTTCATCTTGGACTGGCTCTTATACTTTGAGGTTTGCAGGGGAGAATTTTGAGAAGAGTGTACAATCTGTGAAAGATGATGATCAGCAACAAGTCACGTTTTCTTTCCAAATCAAAAGGACATATATCATACCACCAGACCTCCACAGAATTTCTAATGGCTGAAAAAAAAATTCTCACGTGTGGCCCATGTCTCTGTAGGATTTGTGATTTTTGCCTGTTCATGGTAGGTGAGGACCTACTTCAGGGATTTCCCCCCCCCTCACTGAAAACTCAATTCTATTTCAAGAAACGTGATTCTGTGTTATGGTGCTGACAATCTGGTCTCATTTACTGAACCTACCATGTGCCAGGCACAAGTCAGCTCGACATACATCATCTCATTGGATATGCAGTGCAAGCTGTGCAGAAGATGAGAGGTGACAGGCTACGTGACGTGTCTAAGCTCCTGCAGCTGACAGGGGGGAAGGGGAAGGGAGTCGACCCCAATTCTGGAGGAGTGAAGTTGACTCAGAAAATAGCCAGCTATCATCTGGTTCCCAATACTCGAAGAAGACAGGAAGCATGACTTCATGGGTGCGGAGTGAGAGAGCTTAAGAGCTGTAGCAATGAGGCCTGATTTTTTTTCCCCCCACAGCCTCCAAGTGCCTGGCAAAAGATGAACGTTCAGTGCCAGGTCTTAGGTTTCTTCCCTGGGAAGATGGAAAGGGCCTTTGAAATCTCCATTCCCATCCCCGCCATCTGCAATTACAAGGTCAAATGCATATGGCTGTCTGAGGGGAGGCCCCGGCTTCGTTGACAAGACGAACTTCAGATCCACACAGCTTTTAGCCCCATGAGACCCTGATGGCTTTGAGCTGACTTGGAACATTCTAAATGATGGCAGGTAGTACCGACCCGTTTGGCTGAGGACTCTTCTCAAGTTTGAGAGTGTCCCAGACATTTTCCTCATTTAAAAAGTGTGGCTGCGCGGTCATTTTGACAGCAGAATTTAGATTGTACATCCTCAAACTTTCCTGCCGAGGAACAGAGAGGCCAACCCTTCCAAAAGAGCTCATACAGTAGAGGCCAATGCAGGGCACACATGACACATGGGGACCTTTTCCTCTCTCTGTCTGGCTGTCCATCTGATGTCGGGGGAGACCAGGGAGTGTCCAGCCCTCACAGACAGAGACAGTGCTAGATACAGCTCATGCTGTAGCATGGCTGTTGGTCCTTGGGAGAAAACAACTTATATCAGAACCCTTAGCTGTTCCCAGGACAGAGCGATGTGCTTTTAAACCTTTGTCCTCTTGCCCTCTCTTGGAGCCAGAAGCCATGAACGATCTAAGACAGACTTATCCCTTTTTTTTTAATTTCCACTCAGCTCTGAGCACAAAGCTCTGTTATTCTTTCCTTGGTTGCTTGCTCACTTGCGTTTTAAGTCCTCCTGCTACATTTATTCAGTACAGAAATCGCACTTCAGTGTCTGGTTTTCCACAGATTCCTCCAAGTCCAACTTAAACTTCTATTTTCCTTCTAACCACTTTTGGATGGCTCAGCTCTCGATTTCCTTATCGACACAGCGACCTAGACCTCTGCCTACGCAGACTCCTCCATCCTGGAAGCCTTGTGGAGAGACTCCTCCCGGGGTTCCAAATGCATCTTTTCAACCCATTTGCTTTGTGTCCCTTCCTGCCCAAGTAATAAGTAATGATAGCTAGTGGGCCACTGTCTTTGATCTGAAAATTGCAACCCTCTTTGATCAGGACAGCTAATAGACTGTTATGTGTTGTTGAGAGACAACTGAGTTCAGGGTTTTGCAAGACAAGCTGGCCATGTCTTCCAACTGGGGTGGAATTACCATGGCTTCTTGCATAGTTGATTTCCTTTCTCTCAAATATAAACAGGAGCTAGCTTTTTTTTTTTCAAGGAGCATTTCACAAGGGCAAAAACAAAATAATAAATGGCCAAATTCAGAAGGCAGATTTGTAAGTGTTCCTCCCCAAACCCACTTTCTAAAAGGCCCGATTCTAGCTGAGCCGCGATAACATTGATTCCTGTGGTTGGGCTCTCGGCTCTTCTGAAGCCCATTATGACTGCTCTATTCATAGTCCTGCTATCACGGTGGAATTCTTTGGCAAGGAGCGCATGGTCCAAGAAAGAAGGGAAAGCAATATTTTCTCTATGCTCCCCGCCCCCCCCCCGCCTCTGTTTTTTAAGAATTCTTGCAGAGGTAGACTTTCCGAGGGAGGATGCAGGACCACAAATCCATACCACCTCCAAAAGAAGACAAAGACTGTCTTTAGAAAAGTGTGGAAAAGCCTTGAGACAGAAACCCACTTCAGGGGCCAGCTGCCAAACCCACCCTATGCCGGCCTTCCCCATGGAAACTGTCGAGGGTTCTGGCTTCTCTTGGTGGGGCCAGCAGCTGTCCTCACACCCACTGAAGTGTCAGAAGCCTTGGGGAAGGCTGTAGTCGAGATGTCCTAGAGAATTCCTGCCTCTTCCGTGGCATGGCAGGAGAAGATCCTGAGACCCCTGCATGTCTGAGCCAAATGAGGGGATATTGAGTATGATGGTTAGGATTCTTTGACTCCAACTTGGCCCTTCTGGCCTGAGTTGCTTAATAAAAAAGAGGGAAGTTGTGGTAAACAGAGCATTTCAAGGGACCCAAGGGCCAGGATAGAGATCTGGGTCCAGGACCCAGGAAGATACTAGGATGCTCTTCGCTGGCCTCCACAGCTTACAGTGGTAGCCAAGGCTTAATGCTCCCTCTGCAAGCTGTCTAACACCTTGCCACACATAGATGGGTAGGAAGCTTACAGAACCTCTTACATAAATCCATAATCCTTATCAAAATTATCTGGAGTCCCTTATAGTTCAGAATGGAAAACATTTTAGTGTTTGAAAGGCACAGCAGTCTAGCAGCCAAATATTAATATCCCCGATGGGACCAGTGGGGTGAGTACATCATATGTAGTCAGCTATGCTGATGATGCTACCAGAGCGTCTGCAAACAGCCTCATCTGACCATCAGGTCTGCTTTTGTGCTAGATGTGTTTTCCATAAATATGAAGAAAATATGTTCAGTTTGCAGAGCTATTGTTGTTGGGTTTTTTCCTGAATTACAATCAGAGTTATCAGCTACCTTTGATATTCACAGAGTGTTCAGGGAAAGGATCTCTGTATCTAGAATTCCAGCCCTGAGATCTCAGAAGATGGATTCTCATTGATTCAGTGACTATAGGTTAATGAGTGTTGGTCACACCAGCTGAGGCCTACCAATGAGGGCATCGTGAAGAAACAGACTCTGATTGGTCTGGCCACAGTCAGTTGATCACTGCTAGTCCAATCAGGTGAGGCCTGGTTTGTAAAGCACTAATTGATTATATGGTCCTTAATGGACAACTTTGGAGATAGTTACTGCTATTGAATGAGTCACCTCAAAGCCCAGAACTAAGCAACTTTGTTAACATGTGTTTTCCCTCATCCCCCCACACCCCCAAATGAGTAATTGTGATGGTCTCACAGTGAAATGGTGTCTGCACCATAGTAAGACTTTATAGCTGCCAGCAGCGAGCCACAGGTTTCCTGTGCCTTGTGATGCAGCAGGAATCCTCCAGTCCTTCACCATGCCTGTGCACCCGTGTGGCTCCCAAGACTCCAAGCTCTTCTTCCCGGCTCTATCTGTGCTTCCCCTGGTCAGTCAGAAGTTCTGACTGGAACTCCAGGCTGCTCTTCAGAGCAGACTTTCCCTCTTACAACTAGTAGTCATAACTAGGTGGAGCATTTCCTCCCAACCCAGAAGCTTCTTCCCTGTGCTCTAGGATCACCTTCCAATGAGCGAGTGGGCCAGTGACTGGCATCCGAAGATGGAAGTCCAGAAGGAACCACCTGGAAAGGCTGGTGGTAGACACAGGGGCCTGGCAAGGTAGCTCTGAAGGTTTCCTTTACAAAGTAACCCTACTGCTGGCATTGCAGCTAGATTACTATTAGGAGAGGAAGACCAACATTTACCAAGAGAAAACCAATTCATGTATTCAGAAGTATTGACCAAGCCAGGAGCCTGTGGCTCACATCGTAATCCTAGCTACTCAGGAGGCTGATATCTGAGGATAGTGGTTTGAAACCGGGAAAGTGTCCATTAGACACTTATCACCAATTAACCACCAAAAAGCCAGAAGTGAAGGTATGGCTTGAGTGGTAAGGCACCACACACACACACACACACACACACACACACACACACACACACACACACACACACACACACACACACACACACACACACACACACACACACACACACACACACACACACACGTATTAACTGAGTCCTGCTTAGGTTCTGGGAGCCCATACTGGGGACAAATGATGTCAGTTTGGTCTCCTGAGGCTTCCCAAATCACCAGTGCTTCATTCATTTCAAGCACAGGTTGAATCTGGAAGATTCTAGAATGACAGGAGCCTTCTAGAAAACGAATAGAATGAAGGATTCCAGTTAAGAGGGAGCAGTCTAGGCAAAAGCAGGAGAGAGCTTGGTCAGTTCTAGAAACTCACATGGTTCCTAGAGCAACAGGACCAGTGATTTTTATCCTGCCTGGGACAGACATGGTTCTTGGGAGCTGTGTCCTAATGGCTCCTGTATCCCCCGCATGACTTACTCTTATCTAGTTTCTTCCAGCACCATCATCCTTCAAATCATAGTTCTGTATCCAGAATCTAGGGGACACAAGCCTATAGTGCAATGCCCCAGGTTGCAGATACCCCACAGGACCCACTCCACCCACCCAGGGGTGTTGTCCTCCTCCTGTCCCCTCCTTCTCACCCCATTTTCTCAGCAGCAACCTGCTTTGTCCTTGATGTAGTCACCTTTCAGAGACTGGCTCACAACTCTTACATTTGTTCAGCATGCTGCACGTCTCCTGGGAAAGGAAATGTAGCTTTGCAAGAAATGAGAACTGGAAGAAGCCTGCTGAGCTCCAACCCCCAGTCAGACTGAGTCTGAGGGGAGGTTTCTATGTACAGCGGTGACAGGAGCTTCTGAGGACTATGCCCTATCCATGTCAATGCCCATCAACCCTTCCCTCCTCAGATAAGCCGTGTGAGCTCTACTGCTCGCCCCTTGGGAAGGAGTCCCCGCTGCTGGTGGCTGATCGTGTCCTGGACGGCACACCCTGTGGACCCTACGAGACTGACCTCTGCGTGCATGGCAGGTGCCAGGTGACCAGCTTTTCCTTCTGTCCTTGGGGGTGGGGGTGGGGAGGCTCCTCCCCAGGGGAGCTTAGGGTGGAGCAGAGGCCTCCCCCAAAGTAGGTTTTTTGAAGGCAATGCCGGCAATCTTTGTTCTGTAGGGAGCTGGGTGGCTCAAAGAACAGTAAAAGGCTTCCCCAAACTTTTTATATTTTGTTTTATTTTATTTTATTTGTGCTAGTACCGGGGCTTGAACTCAGGGCCTGGGTACTGACCCTTACATTTTTTTTTTTTTTTGCTTAAGGGTGGCACTCTACCACTTGAGCCACACCTTCACTTCCTGCCTTTTGGTAGTTAATAGGAGATTTAAAACATCTCACAGACTTTCCTGCCCCAGCTGGCTTCAAGCTGAGATCTTCAGATTTCAACTCCTAAGTATATAAGTTTATTGGCATGAGCCATCTGGCTCTCAAAACTTTCTTAAATTTCTTTGTCTGCTTTGTCTGACTTAAAACAGAGCACATGAGTGTAAGATGGACCGGAGGATGAATGGAAAAGCCATGAAAGGTGGCACCTTGCCCACAGGTGCCATTGCCTGGAGAGAGCTCTGGGGTCTGAAGCCTGGCTTTTGGGGGAATCCTCCATATGCTGGAAGTTATTCTCCAAACCCCACCTGCTGCTAGGTGTCTGTGACTCAGGATATTGATAAATGCCACTTAAGACAAATAGAAAGCCAGGTACTGGTGGCTCACATCTATAATCCTACTCAGGAGGCTAGGATCTGAAGATCACAGTTCAAAGCCAATCTGGGAAGGAAAGCCCATGAGACTCTTATCTCCAATAAATCACACACACACAACAACAACAACAACCAGAAGTTGAACTGTTCCTCAAGTGGTAAAGTGCCAGACTTGAGCAAGAGAAGCTCAGGGATAGCGCCCAGGCCCTGAGTTCAAGCCCCAAATAGAGGTCAAAGAGAAGGAGGGAGGAAAAGATCAAATGAAGGAAAGGAGAAAGGGAGAAAAGAAAGGAAGGGAGGAAGAGGAAAGGAGAGAGGCAGGCAGACAGATGGAGGAGGGAGACAGATGTACTGTCTGTCTTGCATTAAATCTGCTAGATCCCAGGTCCCTCAGAGACCCAGGCAGTAATCTCAGCATAGCCAGGCCTAGATGACCCTATGCTCTTGAGTTTTTCCAAGAGGGACTAGAAAGAGGGGGTCAGGAGGGACAAAGCTGGGATGCCATCACCTCTACCTACAGATGCCAGCTCCTGGTGACTCCGCTCAACCTGAGCAAAGGAGAGTTTGGTGTCCGAGTCCACACAGCATCCTGTCATGAGGACTGGGACTGCACAGTTTATAAGTGATTGAGGCTAGGTGCCTCAAGACCAAGGCCTTGTAAAAAGGCTTTCTTGTTCCACCCTCAAGTGTGTAGAGCAGGGAGTAAGCAAACTCTCTGGGGCCTGTCGTATGCAGACGTCAATCCTGATCATAAGGATTCAGCTTTTAGGATGAAACCACATCTCAAAGGTCCCATCTGCACTATCACATACATAGGAGTGGCCACAGCAGCCAGGGCAACCCCTTTCCTCAACGGCAGATACCTGCACCCATCACTGTCATGGCCATGCCACATGGCAGCCTATGCTTTGGCTACTGCAACTTCCAACATTGTTGCTATCTCTAATGCTTGGTTTCAGGGAGATTTTAAAAAACATTTTGGTGCCAAGCACCAGTGGCTCATGCCTGTAATCCTTAGCTACTCAGGGAGGCTGAGATCTGAGGATCAAAGTTTGATCTGCCAATCTGGCAGAAAATGTCTGTGAACTCTTTATGTCCAATTCAGGCAAGAAGCCAGAAGTGGAGCTATGGTTCAAGTTGTAAAGTAACATCCTTGAGCAAAAAAGCTCAGGGACAGTGTCCAGGCCCTGAGTTCAAGCCCCAGGACCACCAGCACAAGAAAATGGAGACCTTTCTGTGCAGTTGGGGATAGCGGCATTTCACTTTAATTGTGGTACAACAAACGGCTGGCTGCACACACAAAATCAACATCTAGGCTGACTGTTGTGAGCAAAACATTTTCAGCACAAGTGGGTTTTTAACCTGCACAGTCCCAAGCCAGCTTCAAACTGGGATTTCCGCCCCCCCCCCCACGCCAGGGAAAAGCTTGACAAGACCCAGGCTCCTTGGCACTGCCTGGTTTTGTTATCAAATATGGATTAGTAAAGGTGATAAACGCCCAGTGCCCAAGAATCTTCAGCAAGGCAATCTCCCAGGGAGGGGGAAGCAATGCGTACTCAAAACAGAACCCTCAGGACTGCTGCTTTACAACAAAGACTGCTCAAGGTGCTGCCACTGAGAACAAAGCCCTTATCGTTATTTCTGAAGTGAGGCATTGCTGACAGTTCTCTGGAAACGTGAAGGATCTGCGTCCTTTCCAGATTGCCTGCTTTGCGTTTGTGGGCCATGCTGCATGCCAGTGTGTCTTGCCCGCCAATGATGTCATTCATTTGCAAGAAACTTCCCGGGTCAGAGACCATGTACTTTGGAGCCACCCCAGCCTCAAGCTGGCATCTTCTACAGTGTTCTTGCCAGTAGAGCGGCATTTCAGTGAATCCTAAAATTCTCCAGCTAATGGGATCTGTGTTCCTGCTGGACAAGATTTCAGCTGCTGGTGGTCTGTGCTTTGGTTTGAATCTCAGCCTTTTCAATTAAGGAGTCTACTCTATACCATGATAGTGGAAGTTCTACTCCTTTATCCGGAGGAACAAGTCAGCTAAGTAGCCTGGTGTTTGTAGGCATCCGGTCTTGGGGAGCCTGAGCTTGTCCTGCACTCAGGTGTTTTCTTGCTTGGTTCAGATGGCTAACAAAACATAGATTAGCTGTATACGTGACAGTGTTGTGGAGGCTGGAAATTCCAGGATCAAGATGGCAGCATGGTTGGATTCTGGGGAGGACAGATTACAGCTTACCTGGAGTGGCATCTTCATGTCATGGAAGGAAAGCTACTTAGTCTTGGGTCTCTTCTTATGAAGGCTCTAATTACATCAGTGAGGGCTCTTTCCTCCCGACCCTAGTTTTAAACGTCACCATCACTCTGGCATTCAGGATTCGATGGACAACTCTGACATGGACACAAGTTCAGTCTATGGCTGAGACATCGGGGCGCAGGACTCCCTATTCCCAGATGTCCCTCCATCTCCACAGATGTCATCATCACAGCCTTTGGTGTCACCTTCACTGAGCCTGGCACTAACCAAGTGAGGTCAGAGGGCACCAAGATGAAGACGGAGCACCTTTCACAACCCCATGGCAGTCACTGCTCCTCAGGATCTTCATCTGCCAGTGGTGAGGGTATCCAGGATGGTTCTTGGCCATTGTATGCCCTAGATGAATGTGCCCAGAGGCCTGCTGGCCTCCAGGAAGCCCATCTGTCCTTGCAAAAGTGTCAGCGTCTCAGTAGGAGACATTAGTACTTGTTACAAACACTTCATAAGATTAAAACCCTGGTGGGAGCTGGGGGTGGTGAAACTGCTTTCTAGAGGAAGTTCGAGATCATCTGCCAAATTTTATCTTCAGAACTTGAGCATACTTAAATATGAGCATAAATCAAATACAAATATATGCCTCATTTCAGCAATTGCCCAAAATGGAATATTCTGGATTCCTGTGGTACTTCAAAGCGAATACAGCAACAAAGTTAGTGGAGTGAAAATAATAGTCATCCTGATTTGAAAAACATCTCAGAGAGGATCTGAATCTATTCACTGACATAATTATCTAACTTGAGTGGAAAAAAGGTAGAAGTTGCTCACTTTTTGTGGAAGACAGAAGTTACAGAAATATCACCACTGTTTGCTTACTAATAACTTTCCCCTCCGTTCCCCTTGGCTATAAATTTTGCGATTTGGGGGTAACTCAGGGGCATTCTGGGAAATTTTAAGAAACATAGTAACTAGTTGGTAGGGAGAGAGGCTCCAAGATGGCATTCTGAGTAGATTCCACCCCGCTCCAAATAGCAGGCTGATTCAGACCATCATGTGAAACATGGAAATACCATCTTATTCCATTTTTATGAGGACCGAGTTGAGTTTCATTTCAGTGAGTCACAAATTACTTAACATGCTGAAATTAAACTTAACAGCACTCATAAAAATGGGAGAGAATTGGGGGGGAAGAAACACAAACATTATATATTTTTCAGCAAGTCACTATAAATCAGACAGCCCGTCATTAATTATACCTACTGTTGGCCTCCAGAAGCGAAGATTTAGTCTCTAATATACAGCTTGTTTACAGGAGCTGTGACATGCAATGGGAGAATTCAATGGCCACGTGGCTTTGCCACTGGACAGTGGACATATCTAAAAAATCTGGATGTTTGCATTTTCTCCAGTGCTTGATTAGCTCACATAGACACACACACACACACCCATACACATAGCCAATCTCTCTGATCAGCATCATTCTCTTTGGAACCATAATTTGTGAACATATCATGAGCTTGATGAGCAGCAAACAAAACATCTATTTAGGGAGTGTTGAGTCTGAGTAATCTAGCTTCCTTTATGAGCTGCTACAGAGGTGAACCTTTGGTTATATATGGAAAAATATATGTATATAATTTATATATAACATATAAACTTAAATACATAACATATAAACAAGTACTTATATGTATATCTTATGTAATACATTTATAATATATAATTATATACAGTAGTATATTTGTAATATACTTATATATAATAAAATTATATATGTATAATATACAATGAATACATATGAATATATATTTATACTTTATTTACAAATATATGTACATATTTATATACAGTTTATACTAATATATACAAGTATATAGAAATTTATATATTTGTATATGACTATATGATATATATTTGTATATAAATATATATGAAAATAAGTAGATAGATCCTGTTCTCAAGGCTTTGGCAGTTCTAGAATCTGGGACCTGTTTCAATGGACCATTTTCATGGTCAGGAATTAACTAGTTTCCCATTTTGTGTCCAAAAGTATATATGGAAATTAGAATAACAGGTAGAATTTAAGAGAAATATGAGGTTCTAGCCTCAGGGTATCCTCTGTGAAGAAGAGGTAATGGCACAGAGGAAGGCAAATAGGGCAGGGTGCTGATCCTCAGGAGTATATTTCAAGAACACCTTCCTGCTTATTGCCTTTGCTACTTCACAGCCACACAGCTGACATCCCCAAAGTGCAGGGCAGTGGGTGCCAGGCCTCCATCACCGTACTACCCTCAAAGGAAGTCTAGCACAAATAATAGCGGGGGAAATGGGGGTGATCAAGAGGCCCCCAGACAAAGAAAAGCCATTCTTTCAGGAAGGCAGAGTGAATGGGAGTGTTACTGAGATACAAAGCAACTGAAGCCAGGCTGGAACAACTGAGAAGAAAGCACAGCCTGAGAGCTTTCCCCTTGGGAAGGAAGGTTGGAAGTGAAGAGTTGGTTCAGAGCAAGGAGATGACTTAAGGGCTGCACCAATATGGCTGACCTATATGCCCAGGACCTATGGCCTTTTGTGTCCAAAGAAGGCACTAATCTTTCTGGGTTAGGGGTATACTCCAGCTTCCCACACTTTATAGTCTCCAAAGGAGACTTACCACACAGCACTGACCAGTCTCAACTATAGATTGTCTCCTTCAGCTTCTTGCTGCTTCATGCTCAAATCGAAGAGCTCACCAGCTATTTGAAGGAGCCCAACAGCATGACTAGGAAAGATCAAGAAAAATAAACAGAAAAATTGACCCTGGAAGAAAAATTGAGAGGATCATGGAATTCTGCACATAGCCAAACTACCAAACATATGGGTAAAATAAAGTAATTTTGAGACCTGGAAGGACGCCGAAATTAATACTTTCCATGCGTTCATTCTGGAGAAATAATGTGTAGTTTAGCAAACCAAAGATGAAGTCAAGAGGAAGATGAGTACTTCAGGCCCAGGAGCAAATCCCAGCATGATGACTGAGCAGCCACACTGCAATCTGCATCCAGTTAACATTCAAACAGGGAGTCCTGCCCAAGAGATGGGATGATACAGAAGTCGAGGGATAGCTACTAAGTTGAAGAAGCAAGTACTCTGTGCAGCCAGAAAGGAGAGGGGAAGGGAGGGGCAAAAAGAAGGGACCAACATCCATCAAAATGTATCCAAGAGAAGCTTCCTAGATGTGTCAGCGTTGTGTGTCTCCTCAGTCTTAGGCCCAACATTCTGAGCCTTTGCAGTGTGTTGGAAACAGGCTCCACCTAATTCTCCCAAATTTCTGTTTTTTAAAAAAAAAACCCACTTGGGCCAAAATTCAAAGCAAATTCAAAGTCATCAACCTAAAAAAATTGTAAAAAAGGAATAACCCAGCCAGACCAGAACTTGAAATGTGACCCTTTCAAGAACACATGTAAGCAGATATTGTGGCAGGTTGAAAAAGATTTCATACCATAAAAATAAACACATACAGTCTTTATAAGTTGACAAGTTCGGTTCACTTTTTAAAATGGTACAGGAAAGTCCTAGTTCATGAGCTAGCCCAGATTGGGGAGGAATTAACAGGCAGAAATAACCTCTTTTTGGCAACACTAAGGTTTGGTTACTAGGCAGGCACCTTGCCATTGAGACCTACTCCAGCCCTTCGTTTATGTATGTTTTTCTTTGGTTGAGAGAGAAGCTGAGAGTGAGGCTTCTTCCCATGTGAGCATCTTGAGAAAGAGCAAAACTACTCTCACTTGAGTCATCCTAGATCCTGGTTTCCTTTAGAGTTATAAGTAGCAAGGTGGGGCTGGGAAGGTGGCTCAGTGGTAGAGTCCTTGCCTTGCATGCCTGAGGGCCTGGGTGGTTTGATTCCTCAGCACCACATAAAAAGAAGAAGCCGGAAATAGTGCTGTGGCTCAAGTGGTTGAGCACTAGCCTTGAGCTGAAGAGCTGAGGGACAAATTATTAGAATTATTTTTTAGTTTTTGCTGATCTTGGGGCTTGAACTCAGAGACTGACTGGACACTGTTCCTGAGCCTCTTAGTGCTCAAGGCTAGTGCTCTACCACTTGAGCCACAGCACCACTTCCATCTTTTTTGAGTTTTTGATTGGAGATAAGAGTCTCACAAGGACTTTTCTGCCTGAGTTGGCTCCGAACCAGGATCCTCATATCTCAGCCTCCTGAGTAACTAAGATTATAGGCATGAACCATTGTGCCTGCCTAGGTATTATTTTTATTAGCAGTTCTTAAAATGTTTGCTTTCACCCAAAAAAAGAGTACTATAGAAAACTCGAATGTAAACTTGGCTTTTTTTGCCAAATACAGAATTCTCATGTGCATGTGTTTGCTTTCTGGGTTTTTGTTTTTAAAGAAAAACTAAGAGTTTGGAATTGCCTAATACTTTTTCTGAAACTTGGTGCTGTGTTTCTAGACCCAAGCGTAGAGTTTTTCCTTCCTTAATTTTCAACAATAATGTGAGTTGTAAAAGAAGAGGAGTGCCTTTTAGTGGACTAGGTCTCCCTAACTGAGAAATGTGAGCTAGCCAACCTGGCGAAATGGAGTCTCTACCTCTCCAAAAGTGTCAGGGTGATTTTTGTTGTAGATGGGGCTGTTGATGGTTCTAACCAAGGTTCTGGTGAGCCGTGACACCGTGAAGAGTAGCCACACCATTTGACACATGAGAGCTAGTCTTTGTACTCAGGGCCTGTACTTCCAGCAGTGCTGGCATGAGAAACAGAGCTTCAGACCTTAGCACAATTCTGTGGTCACTTGGGCCTTTCCAGGCCCTTCTCCTCCATAACATATACTAAAACAAATGCACTTTTGATAACTGTGTAGGTTTAAAGACAAATATAACATCAACTAGGTTCTATGCATTTTTTTTTTACTCTTGTGATTTTAAAAGGAATTTAACTATTTTCTTGAGACTCTAAAGGTATTTGGGACCCTGGAAACTGAGCCTATGGGGCATCATGGAGAATCAGCTTTCATATCCACTGCAGCTAGACTCCAGTGGCTCATGTTTGTCATCCTAGCTATCTATTTAGGAGGCTGAGATCTGAGGATCACAATTCAAAGCCAGCCAGAGCAGCAAAGTCTATAACTCTTATCTCAAAAAAAAAAAAGGACTCATATCTAATTAACTACCAAAAAACTAGAAGTAGAGCCTATAGCTCAAATGATAGTGCATCAGCCTTGAGCAAAAAAGTTAAGAGATAGTGCCAAGGCCCTGAGTTCAAGCCTAGTATTGGCACACACACACACACACACACACAAAACCTTCACAACCCTACTGAGTCTTAAGCACAGACAGAATAACTTGGTCCTCTGGCTTTCTAGAAAATTGGCTGTGATGGCATCATTGGGTCTGCGGCCAAAGAAGACCGGTGTGGGGTCTGCAGTGGGGACAGCAAGACGTGTCGTGTGGTGAAGGGTGACTTCAGCCACTCTCGGGGGACAGGTGAGTGCCTGGCCTGAGGGCCTCTGGGAACACAGGACACCCCGCCCTCCCAGCACAGCTGGGTATTTGTCCAAAAGCTAATGTTCACGTGACCATCCACAGAATATCCCCAGATACCATGGAAAAGGAAACCTGTTCACAGAACACTTAGGAGATCTCGCAAAAGCAAAACCAGACGCCAAACACTAAATTGGATTTAAAAACCAAATTTCCAGACTGTCAGCAAAGCATGAAGTTTGTTGGAGAATTTGCCACCTGGTTCCGTAGGAAAACTTGAGAAAGGGACACTGGGGAAGTTGATTTGGGGTGTTTGGGGCCCATGTGCACTTGCTTTTCTTTTCAAATTAAAATTGTAGTTAACTAAAATTAAACTAAGTTAATCATAATGGTCACATTTCAGGTACTTCACGCCAATAGGACAAAGTCATTCCAGAGAACATTCTGGTCATCTCTGGAAGTTCCTTTAGATTGCACTCAGTCTCCAGAACTTCGTTGATTTCAACTATTTGCTTCGCTGTATCTGAGACCATCTCCCTCCTCCCCTTGGAGCACTATAGCTTCCTCAATGTTGGAGACTGAACATAGGTCATACCGGCATGTATTCAGTTTATTGAGAAATCTGTGTGCAATGTTCATTTGCACATGAATGAGTCACCAGCTGCTTGTTATAATACAGCTTAATTACATACAAGCCTGAAATCAGGGTCTGATGGTCTGAAATTCACAAAGATACTGGCAAAGGGTCATCCATCTGTCCACGGTTTACTCACCATGAACACCACAATCAAAGTTAACTGAGATGACTTCACTCACAGTGAATGTGGAATGCCCCCCCCAGCCCAAGCCCCTGTGCCAGAGGTGGAGATGAGGACTATGTAGTCTCTGGCCCTGCAGACCTGTACAATGAGTACAAATTAATTGATGACAGGGATGGAGAAAAGGCACATTAGGCTGAAGGAGACACACATTCTTATGAGACTCTGTAGAAATCCTTTGAAGTCTTCAGGTCATTTGACGTCTCAGTGACTCCAGCCCAGCCCAGCACATTCCCCAGCCCTATCTGTGTAGATAGGAAGGCAGCTTTCATGTGTGCCCAGCTCTGAGGAGTGAGGACAAGAGGAATGCCTTATCCTCGTACAGGGTGAATACCAGAGGGAAATGCCATGCCAGAGAGATAAGCCAGAATCAAATGTAGGATTTTTTGCCCTGTGAAGTCCAGATCCAGCCTCAGCTCCTCTGGGTCCTCTGACTAAATCCTCCAACTGGGAATTATAACAGATCCACACAGGACTACCACCACTGCCTCAACCCAGCAAGAATCCCGGGGTCTCCCAATCTGGGTGAAGAGCAATCCCAGTGCAGCATCAGGGGAGCTGTTCGCTGCCCTCCTGCCTGCTTCTTAGCAACACTGAGCAGGTGTGGTCCTCAGCTACTCAGCATTAGAGGGAATCAGCTCTAGCATCTGTCTGATGAATGCATGGGTTTCTAATGCTCAGACCATGGCTAATCAGATACAGCCAGGTTGAAAACTTGTAGTATTCTTTTCCTTCATCAAATTGTCATTTTAACGTTAGTATTTTTTTTTCCATCCTGTTCCTTGACTCAGAGATAACCAAGAGGTTTCTGGATCTCAGTCCCCACTGAACACCAATCAGGGTGCTCCACTGTCTTTTAATCCTTCTATACTTTCTTCTTGAGGAGAACTTTCTCCAGCAGGTTCTCACGAGAGGTGGTATGGTCCATCCCTTTAGAACGTGGATAGGTCCACGTGTCCTGTGTCTATTCAGTAATCAGCTCCAGAGCCCCTGCCTTGAGGGGGTCCTGTGTTCCAACTCCAGGACACGGAGCGTGGACATTCCATGGGAAAATACAAGGTTATGTGAAGAGGACGTATAGCAGGGCCTGTTTCTGCTGTGGTTACGAATGATGGTACCTGCACATAAACCAATTATAATGTGTTTCTTTTCCTCAGTCAAGAACGATCTTTGTATGAAGGTGTCCACATGTGTGATGGCGAAGGCAGTCCCCAAGTGTTTCTCATGTAAGATGTCGGATGTTCTGTGTCGTCCCTGTGGTGACATGCTTGGTGTGGGGTTCTCGCCTCGCTTACATGCCTGGATGTGTTTTAAATAGAATCAGTAGGAATGAGTACTGATGAAGCCATGGGTAAAACAAAGGCTGTTTATTGGATATATATGACTGATGTTGAGCAGTCCCTTCCCCCCCCCCAAAAAATAAGAAACTTGTAGAATAAAACCAAATTAAAGATTTTTAAAAAGTAGATGGGCAACAGTGGCTCATGCCTGTAATCCCGGCCACTCAGAAGGGAGAGATCAGGAGGATCACCACTTAAGGCCAACCAAGGCAAGAAAAAAAATATTGAAACACCATCTTAACAAACTGGGCATGATAGTTTATAACTGTAATCCCATGCAAAGGATCATGGTCCAAGGTCAACCCCAGGTAAAAAGTGTAAGACCCTACCTTAAAAAAAATAACGAAATCAACGAAGACTAGGGGTGTAGCTCAAGTAACAGCATGCAGGCCTTGCAAGCAGTAGTCAGTGAGTTCAAACCCTAATACCACAATCAGTCAATACAAAGAGTTACAAGACTGGATGGAACTCTGCCACATGTCTACTATGCTAAGGATAGGGACCTGTTCTCGGCCAGATGTGACATTTGGAATGAATGTTAAGGCATGTTAGAGAAGTTAACCATGGTTGGTACCTTTCTTCCAACATAAAGAAGTTTCTGTACTGTAGAAATGGACTTTCCTATTGGCAGAGGGGCTTTTGGTGGCAGCTTCATGACCCTCATGCTGGTGGCAAAGGCACTGTTCTTGCTTTACCCATCTATACTGGCCTCTCAACCAGAGGGTGAATGCAAACCCGACCTAACCTCACAGAACCACCTTTTAGCAGTGAACCAAGGTAGTAACACACATGGCCCCAACCCACCATGTTTTGGCTCACCACCTTCAACTCCATGGAGGTGCAAAAGCTTTGTGCATTCGATAGAAATTCTACTTCACATTTTGTTCTTTTCCCAGGCTTCCGATGTGAGGTCTGATCCTCTGTGGTGGTGCTGGGTAGTAGCTGGGCACTGTGGCTCTCCATCAGTCAGCTAGCTAGGGTCTGCAGTAGGAAATCACCTGTACCGCACAGTGTCCTATGTGTGAAGCTTCGGTATCAGATGGTTAGGTGTTGTACGTGCATTTTTTACCTTTGAAATTTTCAACTTTGAGTGGCTTTGTCAGGATGTGATCCCATTGGAAATCAAGAGACATCTGAAGGCTCATAAACAACTTTATACAAATGGAAATGTTGGAAATATATATATGTATACTTACACCAAAGCCTTTCTGAGTATCTTATGATTTATTTATCAACAAAAAATTCCTCTGATTTTTTTATCAGTTCAATAATTTTCTTCCAAAGAAATTGTCAGACACTGGTGGCTCATGCCTGTGATCCTAGCTACTCAGGAGGCTGAGATCTGAGAACTGAGATTCAAAGCTAGACTGGGCAGATAAAATATGAGAGCGACTCTTATCTCCAATTAACCAGCAACTGCCAGAAGTAGAGGTGTATGGCTCAAGTGACAGAGCCTAAGCCTTGAATGAAAAAGCTGAGGGACAGTGCCCAGGCCCTGAGTTCAAGACCCAGTACCAGAACACAAAAAAAGCAAAAGGAAAGGAAAGCAAAGAAAGAAGGATGGATGGAGGGCAGGAAGGAAGGAAAAGAAACTGCTGAAAATGTGAAGAAGTCGAGAACCCAATCATCCAAAGCAAATCTACTTGGGAAAGGAAGATAAAAATAATTCCTCATGGGGAAATATGTTCATAGCCTGCTAATGTTACCTATCTGGTAGATGTGAGACTTCACTAAGAAGTTCCCTGGGGACACCAGCCCTTGAGTCAGAAGAGGCCTTCTGCCTTGGAACAATGGCAAAAACGTTGGTTTTACCCATGGCATCCTCATGAAGCTAGATGTGTCTAACTGGGTTTCCTCCTGCTTGATGGCTCTGACTCAGAGGGAAAATTTCTCCCAAGTCTCATTTCCTTGCCTAGAATATGGATTGGTCTTACAAATCTGCAGAGCGAATGCTCAGTTTCATTCTACTTTGTACATGGTCAGCATCATGGTGTCTGGCTTCTCCACCAGGGGCCATCTGTCCCGAAGGACCACATGGTACTTTGGGACTTGACACTGGCACTCTTTCCCTTCCTAGCCACTCTTCATACCAACCTAGCTTGAGCCCTGAGCTCTGGGTCAGAGCTAGTGCTGTCAGGACCGTGTAATTGAGGCAGTTTCTGTGGTTTGGGGGCTTTCTCTTTCATTATCTTCTCTCGCAGGAGGACCCCACGAGGGCTCCAAGAGCCCATGCACTGCCATGTAAGGTTACCCAAGGATGTGCCTCTCTTAGCTTTCTATTGTCCCTTGGCATATCCACACCAGGAAAAGGGTACAAGACACAAAGCAGATGTTCATTCAGTGTTGCATTGTGCGCCAAAAGGAAGCTTTAAAAATAGCCATGGTGGTCGTGCATGCTGCAAATGTACCTTGCTCAGGAATGTTGGGTAATTCCCTCCTGGGAACCTAGGCAAGCTCTATCCATGCCCTGTCCTGTGGCAGACCTGTGATACTTACTTCAAGCTCTGTGAGTCACAAAATAGGAAGAAAACTCCACTGCACAGTTCTCCTTTCAGAAAATAAAAATTCTGTGGTTTAAGAAGATTTCAATCATTTTGACCCTGAACATGTTTTGTCTCTGTTTTCTGTTTTTTTGTTGTTTTTTTTTTTATTTGACACTTTGCGATCTTTTTTCCCTGGAATCCAGTAATTCTTCAAATTCCTTCGAAGGAATGGAGGAATCCTTAGACTCTCAGGCCCACACTTCAAGTGTCCTACTTGTCAGCTCCCACTGTTCGCTTGTACACACCAAAGAAAGACATCAGCTTTCTTCTGTCTTCTGAGCAAGGTCACTAACCAGAGAGGGAGAACAAATGGTTTAAAAGTTGTGATAGCTGGGTACCATGGCTCAGGCCCATAATCCTGTATACTCTGGAGGCTGAGATCTGATGATCATAGTTCAAAGCCAGACCAGACAAAGACCACCACGAAAGTTCAAAGAGAGCTGTGGCAAAGTGGTAGAGCACTAGCTGTGAGTGAAAAAGCTAAAGGACAACTCCCAGGTCCTGAGTTCAAGCCCCAGTACTGGCATTAAAAACAAAGGTGTGAGCTTCATTGGTAATTGGGAAATGCAAATTAAATCTACGACAGCTATTGGGTAGCAAACAAGAATATAGTTAATTTTCAGCATTTTAAGATATCATATACTTATGAGACCATTAGAAGACAACTTAAACTGCATATATGTTAACAACTTTTTTTCCCTTTTCATGTTTATGTTAGTGCATATTGGTTGGACAATATCGGGGTTCCATTGTGATATTTCTACACATTTATATGATATATGTTGGTAATATTAATCTCCTATATTAATCTATTTTTTCTATCTTTCATTAGTCTTTCTTGCAGGATTTTTTTATTTTTTTATTTTTATTTTTTGGTCCAGTTGTGGGGCCTGAACTCTGGGCCTGGGCGCTGTCCCTCAGCAATTCAGCTCAAGGCGAGCCCTCCACTACTTGAGTCACAGTGCCACTTCTTGCTTTTTTTCTTTTTGCTTCTGTGGTGCTGGGGAATCGAACCCAGGGCCTCATGCATGCAAGGCAAGCACTCTACCACTGAGCCACCTTCCCAGCCCCTATTTATTTATTTACTTAGTGCCAATAGAGGAACTTGAACTCAGGGCCTGATACTGTTGGGTTTTTTCACTAAAGACTAGTGCTATAGTACCTGAACCTCACCTCTTCTTCCAGCAATTTGCTGGTTAGTTGGAGATAAGATCTTGGATTTCTCTACCCCAGCCTGTTTCAAACCTCAGTCTTCAAACCTCAAATGTCAATCCTCAGATCTCTTCCTCCTCTGTAGCTAAGATCACAGGTGTAAAACCACCAGTGCCTGGCAAGATTTTAAATGAGTTTATGACCTTTTCATACATACCTATCCTGTACCCATTTGTTTACTTTCAACTTGTAATTTTAAGCTCTATTTATATAGTCTAGATATAGATTCTCTAAGAGATAAGTGCTTCACAAGTATTTTCTCCCAGTATGAATAATATCTTTATTTTCTCCAGGATGCCCTTTGAAGAAAGTTTTAAAGTTTGATATAAATGAAGACACCTATTTTTCTTTTGTGGCTGAGATTTTTGCTATTGTATGTAAGAAACCATTGCCTAGCCCAAGGGTAAAAACACTATTAACTATTTTCTTCTGATAGCTTTATACTTTTCCCTCTTACATTTGTGGCAATTTGGGTTGTTGTCTGTTTGTTTGGCATGGTCTTATAAGAGTTCACCATTATTCTTCTGTACATTGATATCCAATTATTCCAACATGGTGTGTTGAAAAGACTATCCTTCTCATTTAATATTTTTGGCAACTTTCCTTTAAACTATCAACAAATAATTTATTTCTGGATGCTTAGTAATATGCTATTGATAGAAATTTCTGTCTTTATGCCAGTACCACTGTCTTGATTAGTGTAACTAGCCAATTTTTAAAAATTTTCTGGTGTTTAAAACCATGAGGAATATATAAGTTCAAGCACATGCAAATAGGTCTCTCTGAGGTTCTGGTCATAGAAGAACCCTTACTTCCCACAAATTGATCTTGATTTCTCACAACTGTGCCAGCCTGCAATCCCTTAGCCATCACAGAGAGTGTGGTGGTATAGGTATGAGTGGGTGGGGGCTGATGTATGGGGCTCAGACCCAGGATGGAGGTGTGGTTCAACTGTGTGTCATTTGTCCTCACAGGTTATATCGAAGCTGCGGTCATTCCCGCTGGAGCCCGGAGGATACGTGTGGTAGAAGACAAGCCTGCGCACAGTTTCCTGGGTAAAACCATAAGGATTTGATTCACCACTTGATGCTCTGAGATTTGTTTTGTTGTTGTTGTTGTTGATTAGGCTGGGAAACTTAGTTTGGCATCCTTCTCCCAAGTCAACCCTGACTTGAGACTCCTGTATTATAGCCATAATAGCCTGAGTACTCAGTATGTCATTTGGCTAAAATGCAGCCAGAGCCACGGTGGATTTCAGGGGTGGGCCAGGAATGACCTTGACCCTTCAGGAATGAAGCTGTGGGCAGTGGAGGTGTGTCTCAAGTGGTAGAGTGACAACTGTAGTACTAGCACACAACAGAGAGGAAAGGAAAGAACAGAAAAGAAGGAAGGAAAGAAGGAAGGGAGGGAGGGAGGAAAAAAGGAAGGAAAGGGAAGGAAGGAAGGAAGGAAGGAAGAAAGGGGGAAAAGAGAAGGGAATTTGGAAATAGAAGATAGCCCTCATAGCCCTTTAGGAGTAGACATGTGGAGACGGAGCCTCACCCTGGGACTTAGTGATCCCTGCAGCGCTCTCTTGGTCCCAGACTGGTTCCTTTCCTTCCTGCTCTTCTCCCAGCTGCTTACAAGTGTGGTGACCATGGCAGTGCCTGCTGTCAAGGTTAGACCTGACCATTGCTCACACTGACATTGTGGATGTTGTCAACCTGGTAGTTTTTGCTATCTCCCCAATGTAGACACGGTCTTAGCTGAGCCTGACACACCCCTCCCCAGCTGCCCCACTACAAATAGAACAATGCTTATAAATGTTGTCTAAAACAGGGCCACATGCTGCTGCTGACAGCCCACCCCGGGGCTTTCTGACCACTCTAGAAACTGGCTCAGCTTCACCAGCATGGGCATCAGAAGCCCCATCACCTGTATCACTCCCAAAATTTACCTGTCGTACTTGAAGCATTGGGAATGTATTATCTTACCCAGGGACCCTGGGCCTCCATGGGAGAGGCTGACGTCCCCTTACACCCTGATCTTAGTCCCCAAAGCCTAATCTGATTATTCCAAGAGCTGGCCCAACTCCAGGGCCAATTCACTGGTTCCTCTGTAAAGCAGATAAAACCTTTAACTTCTGATCTTGGTGCCTGAGACTTTTCAACACCAGTCTTCTGCCTAACTCAGATTTCCCGATGCCTCCTTGGAGGAAAGAGGAAGGTTTGTTTGCTTGCTTGCTTTTTCCTTTTCTCTGTGTTTGCTTTTCTGTGGCAGTATAAGAATGAGAGAAGGAGCTAGGCATTGCTGAGTTTTGCTGTAATCCTACCTACTGTGGGGTCTGCATTTGGGAGGATGGAGATTTGAGGCCAGCCCAGGCAGTAAAGCTCACATAACACTCTTTCTTGACCTAGAGCTAGGAGCAGTCATATATGCCTGTGATCCCTAGTTACGTGAGTGGCTAAGTTTGCGAGGATCAAATTTCCAGGCCAGCATAGAGAGAAAAGTAAAGACTCCATCTCTGTGGAGGGAAGCCTGACATCGTGGCATGTACCTGTAATCCCTGCCAGGATAAACAGCCTAAAAGTAGGGAGATTGTGGCTCAGGCACATACCTGGGTAGAAAGCTAGACTTTTATCCTAAAAATAATCAGTGAAAAATCAAGGGCTGGAAGCATGGCTTAAGCAGTACCATGCCAGCATAGCAAGTGCAAAGTTCTGAGTTGAAACCCCAGCACTACCAGAATGAAAAGAAAAAGGAAAAAAAATAGCAGAAGAATATTGACTCCTTTCAAATCCTCAGCCCTTAGGGGAAGAATCATCTTTTCCCTAGAACTCATTTTCAGGTTCACAAGAAATGACTGGTAGGGCTGCCCTCGCCCAGGGGCCATTAGCTCTCCCAGGTTACAAGGGCTCTGAAGCCTAGGGGCTTCAGAGAATGCAAATGAGAATGATAGCATCCACATCATTGGCTGAGCTTTAGAGACCAGGTCCCTCTTCTCTTCTCTTCCCAACCCACCTCACCATTCTGCCAAGCAGACTTCTCAGGGAGTTGACTGGACCTCAGTGGCCTAGCCACATTCCCATGCACCCTGTGGTCTACACCAGGCCTCTCAAAATTGCTCAGTGCTGGCTGGTCAGGGACACAGATTGCCCACTGGAGATTTTTCACTGTGTGCCCTGTTACTCTTCTTGTATATACAACAGAGGAAGAAATCCATTCCAAGCAGACTGGTATAAACGTCTAAACGACTTACCTCTCCAGAAACCTTGTACCTCCGTGGAAGCTTGGAGCCAACCCTGATCTCTTTATCTTATCCAAAAATCATAATCCCAGTATCCCAGGGCCTGGCGCTCAGACAAGACCCAGAGCGTGTGGTCCACGCTTGTTCTGTTTCTAAAGTTAGTTCCAACAGGCCTTGTTTCCAGTCGGGGCTGGGTGCTTTGGAAGTCAACCCAGGGTAACTCACAATTTCTCCTCTCCATTTGCTGGGAGTAGTTCCTGAAGAATTTTCACCCCACCTACCTCCAGCCCACGCTGGCTGGTGCTCTGCTCCAAACCACCTGGAACAGGAAACGCCTCTGCTCTCTGTAGCCATACTTGAGAACAGAGCTGGAAGGACTCCAAGTGGAAATGAAAAGAGCTGACTCCCAGCCAGGGGTATAAGTGGGTTGACTGTGGGTCAGGTCCTCCAGTTGAAGCAAGCGAGGAGGGAGAGGTGACTTCTGAACCACTTGGGCATGGTGGCCTCCAGCCAGTTCTGAAGAGGAAGGAATGACCCTACTCAGCCCTCAGATAGCTGGAGCTTGCTGACTTCCCCATGGAAGCCCCAGGATGAGGTATAGATGACTAACCAAGAAGATAAAAGACCTTCCTTGTATTCTGCCACAGTGGTGGGGAACTGTGTGAATTCACCCTTTGGTGCCCCGCAGAAGTCTACTCTTATATTGAGGGCCTTGTGAGCAAAATCAGAGCAGTCACTCTTGTGTTTAGGGACCTTGATTGAAAACACCCAGCCTCTGGCCCAGAGAATGCAGCCAGAAGAAATCTCCTCTCTTGCAGATCCTAACTGCAGACCTGGCAGATGAAATCAACACCCTGAAGGAATTCCCTTTGTTATGCGTATTTGGTTCATTGCCTAGGAAAACAAAGCACTTGTAGCCAGCTTGATGCTTTTCAGGGTTATCTTAATTTACTAATTGATTTTTCAATTGCTTACCAACCCAGAGGGTTTAAAAAAAAAAAGAAAGACAGGAATGCCTGAGGGTTGAGGAGGGCTGGAACTTAAGCCATTGAAGGTATCTAACCTGGAGGGCCGTCTGTAAAGAGAAAGGAGGCCTTGGACTCAAACCTGGAAAGCACACTGGTTTTGTCTTGCCCAGGGGCCTCAGCCACATCCCCAGCTCTCCCTCCTGTGGGCCAGGAACACTTTGCTCCCTATGAGCTGGCTTCTGTCCTTGCACGAAAACTTTCCCTCATTGCCTTTGGCGGGAGGAGAGACTTCAGACTCACTTCAGACTCATGGGGCTTGAACTCAGGGCCTGAGCGCTGTCCCTGAGTTCTTTTTGCTCAGGGCTAGCACTCTACCACTTTGAGCTACAGCTCCACTTCCAGTTTTTCTGGTACTTAGTTGGAAGTAAGAGTCTCATGGCCTTTCCTGCCCTGGCTGGATTTGAATCGCAACCTTCAGAACCAGCCTCCTGAGTTGCTAGGCTTTACAGGCTTGAGCCATCAATGCCTGGCTAGACTCACCCCCCTTTTGAAGATAGGCCGGATCCTCAACCCCCTGATTCTTCAGGGTTCAATTTCCTTTGTAGCTCTCAAAGACTCCAGCAAGAGATCCATCAACAGCGACTGGAAGATAGAGCTCCCTGGAGAGTTCCAGATTGCAGGCACCACCGTCCGCTACGTGAGAAGAGGCCTGTGGGAGAAGATTTCTGCCAAGGGACCAACCAAAATCCCACTGCATTTGATGGTAACTTGCTGGGCTTGAGTGCTTGCCTTCTGAAGATGGCTCAAGAGGTTCTTCTGGTTAGGTCTCCTGCAGACCTGGGCAGGAAGAGACACATCTGGCTTAAGGGGAGGAAGGAGAAGGGTGCAAAACTATCTGAGGCTCAGTCTCTCCTCTCTCTTGGTCTTATTCCTCTGTTGGTCTTATTCCTCTGTTGCATGTTTGGAACTCCTTCCCATCTCTTCACTGGCAGAGCTCCTCTCTGTTCCAAGGGGGAGCTGCTGCCAGGAGGGCAAGTCTCAGGCACATGGTAGGATCCAAGGAAACAGGGCATTGTTATGGAGATTGCCCCCTTCCACATCTGCTTGTATAGGTAAAACAGCTGGATACAGAGATCTGCTTTACAATTAAAAACTATCTTTTAGAAATGAACTGTTAGCTGTGTACCAGTGGCTCACACCTGTAATCCTAGCTACTCTAGAGGCTGAGATTTGAGGGTCATAGTTGAGAGCCATCTCAGGCAGGAAAGGCCATGAGATTCTTACCTCCAATTAACCACCAGCCTTGAGCAAAAGAAGCTAAGAGATAGAGCCCAAACTCTGGGTCCAAGATCTAGTACTGGCACACAAAGAAAAGAAAGAGAAAAGCTGTTGGGTCTGTGTCCAGTTAGCATCACCTAGATCTTTAGGACTTACCTTACAACAAACATCTGGAAATCTGAAAAGAGAATCTACTTCTGTGGGTCTTTTTACCATGCACATGGGTCTGGCCAGGGTGTCACTGTCTTATTTGTTGCTTCTGGGGGATTCCATATAGACCACTTAAACATGGGCTATGTGGGGACTGAGAGTGCAGTTTAAGTGGTAGAGCTGTCTGCTTAGCAAGTGCTAAGCCCCGAGTTCAAATCCCAGTACCACCAACACAAAAGAAGTTACACACACACACACACACACACACACACACACACACACACACACACCAGACTTCCAGGGAAATCAAGTCACTGTGACCTTTTCAGTATCTGTGAGTTTCATGGCTAACCTCTGCTAGTACATAATTATATGAAGAACAAGGTTTGTGGCAGAGTTTGCACCTGTCACCAGGGCATACTTTCTCCTTAGTATCTGCTTGTCTTGATTTGGAACTTCTTTTTCCCCACTAATTTGTGACCCCTGGCAGTCTGAAGCTACTCAAGGTGAAATGACTCTCCCCCACCCCCCAAATTCTCTAGCACCAAGCAGCAATCCCCAGGACCGCCAGCACCCAGTGTGGGGTGGTCCTGAGAGGGCACTAGCCCCACTCCAGGTCCTGCTGGCCAGTTTCCCTATGTGCCATGAAGACATATGGAAATCTACCTAGGCCACACTCAGCCTATGAAATCAACGCAAATATTCCCCGCAAGTAGATTGCTGGAACCCAAAGACCCATACCAAAGCCATTCCACTGGGGTAAGATTGTTTACCAAAGTCATTAGAACAGATACTGCTATGCAGTGATAAAAGTGGATGTTAGGAGGAGCAAAAAGGAAGCAAATTATTTAAAATCCATATGAAAATATTACCTCTTCGTAGAGGGGCTTGAGTTCTCTAGCAAGAGCCAGGTAAGTATATTCCTCTTCTTTACCAAAGGCTTTAGTAAACCATGCAGCCATCAGCCCATGCGAACAGGTACACAGCCTAGGCTGTCTCAGACCTGATAAACAATACTCAGAGAAAGCAGCTCCTGCTGGCTAACCTTCCAGCTCCCATTTAATATTAACTGCTTTTCTCTTGAGGTACAATTGTCACTTTTTTGGTGGTGGTGGTGGTGGTGGTTGGAGGTGTCTTTTATGTGTGTATACTGGTTCCTGGGGCTTGGAATCAGGGCTCAGGCACTGTCCCTGCGCTTTTCTGCTCAAGGCTAGTGCTCTACCTCTTTAACCACAGCTCCACTTTTGGCTTTTTTTTTTTTGGTAGATAATTGACTTTTCTGCCTGGACTGGCTTTGAACTGTGGTCCTCAGAGCTCATCTTCCTGAATAGGGTTACAGATGTAAGCCACTACCAGCTCCTGGACTGATGGGCATCTTTTAACACCTTGAAATGAGGAATGTTCCTCTCTCTCTCTTGCATTGGAAGCTAATTGTCCCCAAGTTGGGGTGTGCACATTGCTTGGAGCCCTCCCCCGCCAAGTGCTGGGAACCTGCATTTGAAAACAATTACACCAATACTGTGTGCCAAGGAAATGACATGAAATTGGTTTCATACGGATTCCCTGTTTATTCCCATAGTGAGATAGTAAAGACCTCCTTAAAGACTCATTTTAGTTTTTAACTGGAGGCATTTTTCCAAATGTGTTACTACTACAAGTCTATTTTTTTGGCAAAGGGGACATTGAAGCAGTTGAGATTTAGTGCCTCTACTGCTAGCCCACACAACCTCAAGAGGCTATGGAGGGTTGGCTCCTATCTGCCTGGTGCTGTGAGCATAGGCAGGTGGGCTGTGTGCTTCCTACCTTTAGCTCCAGCTGGCCCCTTCCTCCAGACCTCTCTTCCTAGAAGTGAGCTTGCTAGCTGCTGTCCGGGGGACTACTTGCTGGTCACAAGCTCATTCTGAAGACACTTGCACAACCAGACCACTTTTACCTGCCAGCGGGACACTTGTACCATTACACCTAGAAAGATTAAGCTGTTGAGCTATCTGCCAAAGCTGGTGTAAGGCTTGTCACAGGCATTTCCAGACATTTTGATTTCCATTCTGCACATTTACAAGAATTCACATCAGGTCACCACGCTGTGTGACAGACCCTCTCCCTGGAGAAAGACTTTGCAGACCCTTCTGTGATGGAGTATCTTTACCCCATGCCCCAGTTGGGCACCTGAGGAATCCCAGGCTGAGATAAAGGAAGGCTCCGTACATGAAACATGTTCTGAACCCTAGGAAAGAGTAGGCCACCCCCAAAACAGGCAGCCCAGCACATAGCCTGGTTTTATCCTTCCACAATTCAATGGGCTTGGGGCTCCATTTCACTGTGGCCTTTTTATTTTTGCTGCTGATTCAGGTGCTGTTATTTCACGACCAGAATTATGGAATCCATTACGAGTACACCATCCCTGTCAACTCCACGGCTGAAAATCAAAGCGAGCCGGCCAGGACTCAGGACGCGCTGTTTATCTGGACGCACAGTGGTTGGGAGGGGTGCAGCGTGCAGTGTGGAGGAGGTGAGCCCTGCCCTGGGTGGGAGGGAGGGACAGCAGGCTGCTGGAGGAAGAGATAGAGGATCCTCAGATCTCAGCTTCCTGGCCCTATTCATGTTTTCTTGTCACTTTTCCCTCAGTCCTAATGGTGACAGTAGTAGATTAATGTCAAATGTTACTTGCTCTGCTCTGGGTACCTTGAAGGTACTGATGGATTTTGAAAGCATTCAGCTATCTTAAGGCACAGGACGGGAAGCAAACCAGCCCACTAGAGGAAACTGAGAAGTGAAATCATGGCGGCCAACTCTTGATCGTACACTCACTGTGATTTGACCAGTGACAGAACGAAGATTTGAACTCACATACTCCTGTCCAAGGATACAGCGGATCTGATCGTGTTCTAGTCTTCCTCCTGCCCCAGTGCTGCCTTGTCATTATGCTTCTTCCTTTCTGACAACCGGGAGTCTTGGTCAGGGGTCAGGCCAGAGCATTGCTCTATAAATGTAGGTGCCACCACCTTTTGGTTGCTATGGTTTGGTTTCCAGGGGAACGCAGGACCATCGTGTCATGCACACGGATTGTGAACAAGACCACAACTCTGGTGAACGACAGTGACTGTCCTCAAGCAAGCCGCCCCGAGCCCCAGGTCCGAAGATGCAACATACATCCATGCCAGTCACGGTGAGGAGCAGTGTTTGGCGGCTGGGGAGGCAGTACCGTTCGTGGGGGTGCGGCATAACTAGGTAATACTGCAGGGCTGTTCACTGTGTTCCATTATGGTTGCTGAGTGATTTCTGCTTACTCAAAACAATCATGCGTCACTGAGCAATGGGGCCACAGTGTGAGATGTGTGCATCATGCAAAGGCATGTTTATCTTTTTCTGATGAGCCTGGGCTTTTGGAATGGCAGCAGTTTAGATTTCTGAGGGAGGAATTTCACATAGTGCTTTGGCTTTTGCACTAACCCTTTTGCATCGTCAGACTTTTACCGTGCTTGAATGAGAAGAGATGGCAGGCAGAGTAAGAAAGGAAATCTTGCCAGTGCCTCATGCTTGTATCCCAGCTACTCAAGAGGCTGAGATCTGTGGGTCTTACCATTCAAAGCCAGCCTGGACAAAAATTTCTGCTAGACTCCATCTCCAATTAACTAGCAGAAAGCAGGGCTGGAGGTGTGGTTCAAATGATAGAGTGCCAATCTTGAGTGATTAAAACTAAGCAAGAGCATGAGGATAGTACATTAAAAAAAAAAAAAGCCGGCAGACTTGCTGCATGAGGTTTATGTGTGCCTGGCAGCATTTGAAAGTCAATCCTAATGCTGAAGACATCTTGAACATTATTAGTATTAGGGCCATCCCTCAAATCCATCAACCAGTCAGACATACATATAGGGTCCAAGAAGACCATGGTAAAGAGCACCAGACAAGAAAATGAGCAAGCTGAGTGAGTGCAGGCCCTGAGTTCAGACTCCAGTGCCACCAGAAAAACAAGGTATCTGATGATACATTACACTCACACATACACATGCATATACACATGTATATGTGTATATAATCTGTATGTATATAATGGAAAACAGTGTTATACATATACTGGACACATTTAACAATATTTCAGTTTTTGAAGGCATGGTCTTTGGTTAGGCGTCTTTCATAAGGACTGCAGTTATATGGACTCAAGCCAGAGAGTGAAGCATAGAGTGGTTGAACTGTGGATAAAGGAAAAGAGATTTAACCTTAAGACAAGGCTGCTATGTATATGGAAGATGGGACTTAAAGCTTGGAGCTGTGTTGGGTCAGGAGAGCAAATACCTGTTTGAGATGGGGTGATCATGGCAGGACAGAGGACAGAGCCTATAACTTAGCAGAAGAACCCAAGAACTTCAGTCAAGAAACCAGAATCCAGCCCCTCTGTTGAACCTGGCAGAGTGGAAGCACTTTTCTTTATTATTGTTACTCTTTGACCTTTAAATCAGCAGAGATGTTTGCCTTTTCCCCTTGGTTTCCCTTTATTTCTCCTGATCTCTAATGCTCTTCAACCCTCTTGTTTTTCCACTGAGCTCCTGACAGTTTCCTTTGCCTTCCCAACTGCACCCCATTAGCACCTCTTTATTCCAGTCCTGTGCCTAGCTCTGTGGATAACTAACTGCTCCCAAACTCTGCCTTAACCATATGGAATCTGGAAACAGACACGCAGGACAGATGGCTGCTCTCCAGCATCTTGCAAACCAATACAAACAACAAGCAAACCTGGCCCTGACATTGGCAGGAGAGGCAGAAATCACAGGTCAGCTTAGCTGTGATAACTACATGGCCAGCAGCCTTCTCATAGCTGACCGCAGTCTACAGGGAAGAAGTCTTCTGTTGTCCACATCCAAGAGGTTAGGCTGTGTGCCAGCGATGGCACCCAATGTCCCAGCATCCTAGAGCAAGGAAGCAGAGCTCCCAGTAGTTCCGTGGGGTCCTCCTGGAACCCAGAGCTCATGCATTACCAGACTTAACATTTTTGTAGACCTTGAGAGCTTATTAGCCATGTGAGAACCCATTCCAAGTTATTAGATATTTCCCTGTAGTATTTCGGATTTGAAATCCTTCCCAGGCAGGACATGCTGTACTGTACATTGAATTACAGTGATTCAGTAAAGAACATTCAACAACTTACTGGTAATTGAATTGAATAGTCATTTGCAAGGAAATGTATTTGGTTTTTAAATTTGTTCTCCTTGCTCAATTCTTTTCACCAGACTGGCTGTGTTTGGGGTTAAAATGGAACGGAATACCAGATTTTCCTATTAAAGCATGTTCCCTGTGTGCACGCAGATGCACATGTAGGCAGCGAGATGGTTTGGAGATCATGACTTAAGAAACTTGAGCTCAGTGCCATTGGCTCATGCCTGAAACCCTAGTTATTCAGGAAGCTAAGATTTGAGGATCATGGTTCAAAGCTAGTCAAGGCAGAAAAAAAAAAAAAAACTCCTTATCACCAGTAAACCAGCAAAAAGTCAGAAGTGGCTTTTTGCCCTTGGTAGAGCCCTAGCCTTGAGTAAAGAAACTTAGGGACAGTACATAGGTCCTGAGTTCAAGCCCCAGTGTTGCCAGGATGCGTGTGCTTACATATGTGCATGCGCATGCATGTGAGCGCGCGCGCACACACACACACACACATACGAATTAGGAATGAACACTATGAGTACACTCATACAAAGAGAGAAAACATCAAGACTGAATAAAGGGCTCCTGGTCCATTGGCAGAATGTGTGTGCTCCCAGGGTGTTCTCAAAATCCCAGCTCCTCCAACGTCCGCTATTCTGGCATAGCTCACCATCCCTACCAAAGCTAAGAAATGAAGCCTTGCCTGCCGACCCCATCCAGCTAGAATGAGAGCAGGAGGGCTACTGTACTGGAAAATTCCTGCGTACGGGAGGAAAGGCACTGCCTGGAATGTTACTCTTGGATGGAACGCTCAACACCAACAGCTGTGTGATTCTCAAAGCATGAGCGGTTTTTTTCCAAACTCTGTGTGACTGGGTGTGGTACAACCTGTTAGCAAACCCAGACTTCCTTGGGGTTATTTTAACCCACACATTGCACCGAGGCAAGGTCCAGTTCCTGCATCAAGTGTTGGGTTGGAAGAAGCAAAGATCTGGTGGATGTATCATCCACTAATTAAGACCAATCACTAGTGAGCTTCTGATTTCCATGGAGAACTTGATGTGTTCCCATAAATCCCAGAGAAGACTATTTTCCTTCAACAGCTTCCTAGAAAATGAATGTGTGGGATGTAGATGTGTCTTTCTTGATAAGAGGCAAATTATGGAGTTAGCAGGAATCTAAAGCCCATTGGAGCAAGTAAGGCAGTCCCAGCCTGTGGACAGTGAGATAAGTAACTGAGCTGTCTCCTGGGTGAGGAAACCCCACAATCCTCTGGGGCTCTCTCTTGGGTAAGGAAACCCCATAATCCCCTGGGGCTGACTCCTGGGTGAAGAAGCAATCTTCTGGGGCTTGTCTCCTGGGTCAAGAAACCCACAATCCTCTGGGGGATCCACATACTTACTTTCCTCATTTTACAAATGAAGACTTTACATGCCTAGTCATTAAGTAACTTCCTCAAGCGTCTGCAGGTAGCAAGGCTAATTCAAACCAAGTTTTTCCTTACTTTAAATCTTAATCTCCCCTTGAAAACAGTGTGACCCCTGCCTACCATGGCATGGGAAAAGAAAAAGGAAAGCAAACATTGTCAACCAGGGCATCTATTGTTACAGAGACGCATAAAATCAGGTCAAGGAAAGTCAGTGGTTGGTACTGTAGTGGCTTTCATCTCAGAACAAGGGGCAGAAAGTTGGAGAACACTATGGTGGCTTCCTTCTCTGGCAGTGAAAGTGCAGCCATCACTTCAGAGCTGTGGATTAAGTCAACTCTTGTAGTAGGATCTTCAGTGTTGAAGCCTTGGGTCACAGCGTGGAGCTATGTTGGGTGTGGCCTAGTAAAAGAAGGTAGGTTGCTGAGGATCTGCTGACTTGTTCTAAGAGTTATCTGGACTGTGCTGGCAAAGAATCTCGAATTCAAGGCTTGAGTTATCTAAGACAAGGGTTTCAAATAAGGTGATTCCTGGCCCCCCGCACCCGGCCCCGACTTGAGTTGTTGTGGCTCACGTTTGAACTTCACAAAACCTACATGCTCTGACCCCAGTTGGCTGACATTGGGCTTGATGGAACTGGATACCACCCCCATACTGTGTCTTTCACCCACTCCCACTCCCAGTGTTCAGTGGTGCAAGTTATCAGGGATTGGAGAAGAGCAGAAGTGCCATCTGTAGCCCAGGTATTTTTCTGAGTGTGGGAGGAAGCCTGCCCACTTAGCTATCAAACATGGCCTCTCACACATCCTCCACCTTCTCTATGGCCAGCTGTTGGACTCACTGACTCAGGTGCCACATCTGAGCAGGGCACCGCTATCAGTTCTGTGCAGTCTGTATGACAGCATTTATTTTCCTCTCTTCTCCACAAGGACAGTGACCTTAGCAGTGCCTTATATTCATTCAGCAGATATTTGCTGGGCACTTGTTTGTCAAGCCAAGTAGGTTCCAGAGGATGGAGGGAGATCGACCAACACAGAACTTAGTGTGTGCTATTTTCCCTCCAATGCCCAGCAGCACCGGTGCCTTGGAAGTGCCTGCAGTTAATTTGTACAGATGAGAGAATCAGTACTGGTGAAGGAAATTGCCTCAAATGTCCCAGAATTCCTCCTCTCTGCAGTTAGTGCTGCTGTGTCAGAAATATTCATGCTCCTTGGTGCAGCCATACCCTTGCTTGTCCATCCTGACCTTGGTACAACCCTCACCCCTCCCAGTGCCCCCCTTCCCATTCCACTCAGTCAGCGTCAGGGGCCGCAGAAATCCCTTAAATAAATCCATAGCCCACCTGGTCATGCTTCACCATGACTTTTGTTTTAAATAGCTCTGTTTTAATCTTTGGAACAAAGACAAGATCTGTAAATCCTCATCATGAAAAGGCACCGAGACACACCGTGTTGTTTAACCTCAGGCAAGATGGGGGCAGGTTGTGCAGAGTGTGGCCTCGGGTCTCCGCCCCACCACCACTGCTAGCTGCACACACACCCCTGGGCACGCAACCAGATCTTGCCATCTGTAGAACTGCAAAATTAGAACTCCTCTCATAGAAGTCT